AACGCGGCATTAATAGTGACAAATGTAGCAAAATGGTAATGGACTGGTCACGACTTTATCCTTCGGCACATTCATTCCGTTTTCCGTTTCATTTGGCCTGTCGTAAAAGTCTTTTTTTAGCCGGTATATGACAGCTACCTTTGCCTTTCACTTGCCAATTTCATTACCATTGGACGGACCCCCGGTAAAACAGATAGTCTTCTTTTTAGCTGAAAGCACCATTAAAGCCACTGAAATGTCATATTCCCCCTCATTCATCATCATACATCAACGGAATAGTTAGTCCCACCTTCATTCCATTCCCCAATTCCTCAGAGGAGACACGCAACAGTTTTTTTTCAGACACTTTTCTTTGGCAACTGGGTATGGGAAGTGTCGTCCTGACAGGCGGTCCTTTGGATTATGACCTGACATTAACATGCTTCCAAATAGTTGACTCAACTCGACATCAGGGAGAGTTGAGTCAACAGGTTAAGGACCAGAAATGTTGAACATTACATTTACGTCGAAGTAAGGCTTGTCATTTCACTTTGAAAGTTATCTAACAACTTTGTTAAAAACTTTTAGGAAAGTTTATTAAAAACTATTTATTTGTCATTTATATTGTAATGGTTGGTGATTCAAAGAGGGATTGAGAATAACCCTTACAGATACAGATTACAGTCATAATGAGTCAAAACAAACATATAAGAAAATACTTAGATTGTCTTCTAAAGTATTATATCAATACTTTAAGTTATTTATTAGCCAACTTTTTGTTTTAAACTGTCTTATCTTCTTAACCTAACTTTGCTTATCTTCAAGCATGCTGTAAATGCAGAAAAGTGTTCTTTATAAATAAATTCCTGATTGGCAGTGAAGCGTGGCCACAGCCACCCAAACGCATCATTGCACACTTTGTAAAAGGGCATTCAAGATCGAAAATTAAGACTACGCTGTATGGGTGAGCAATAATTGAGAAGAAAACTCAATGAAAACACTGAACCCAGACTCAGTTGTATTCTCACGGCCTTCAGAACATTGCGAAAAATCCGAAACAAAAACATTCACGCATGAGAAGTCAACCAGCTAGAAATCATCTACATATAGCCGACACCAAGAACTATCCAACTATATATCTAATATATCTCATGAATATGTGTGCTAATACAGACGAATATTTATTTTATTTTCTGATTGCAAACCCCACACCCACAATGTGACGATAAGCAGAAATTAATTTTATTTCTGATATAAGTAAGAACGACAGCGATAAAACTGAAATTTAATTAAGGCATTTAGAACCTGTGACAGCATTTATGTAGAAAATAAGGAAATTCATACATAAAATGTAAACTATGTTGTTGGTATGCGCTTAAAGCGCTAAAACAAAATATTATAAAAGCTAAACTCAAAAACAAGTTCTGTGGCCGAGAACAACCGGCAGATGACTAAATTCCAAACCAGACTCAGACAGTGTGTGAGAGATTTGTTTTATTGTACCTAGATATATGCTTATATATGACTCTGTGTTTTGGGGGTATACTATATACTCTTACATAGTGCCACTACTGTTCCGTGTGCGATGACGCAACTACGCATAAAATGTTAAGGAATTCGTTTGCTTTATATTATTTTTTCTCGCTCGCCTCTGGCGGCGGCATTTTGTTGAAGTATTTTAGTTCAAAAAAGGCCACCACAAGGCAAAGGCCAAGAGCAGGTAGGAAACCGGTGGTGAGGAAACCATAACAGCTGCTGCCTATCGCCTCCTTAAAATGCATCCTTACCTGAAGGTAGGTGCTGGCCAGAAAACCGGAAAGTTGGGGGTGCCACTGGGAATAAGACAGAAAATAGACCAAGTCATGTCTTTGGAGGAACTAGAAAAAAGGTTTGTGCAATACAAAATACCAAAACGTATTTATATTTTAAAACAACTAGAATATTTTAAGACTTCAAAAAATTTAAATATTGAAAAAAACACATCCCATTATCCTGAAACTCTTATAGCTGCAAATCGATTATTTCCTAGTTTTTTAAACCTTAAAAGCTAATTTGTTTCTAGAATACAATGATGAGCATTTTTCTATGTTTCGGGGCAAATCGAAGCCATTTTTCAGGCATCAAATCGAACGTGAATTGATTTCCTCCATATGGCATTTCAATATATTTCACGTGGAAAAAAAATCCCCAAATTCTATGCAAAAATCGAACAAATATGTTAAAAAAAAAAAGGGAAAAAAGAAAAGGACCCGACCTAGTGAGCACAAAAGAAAAATCGCAGTGGCATCGTCGAGCGACAAACAAAACAAGTTGAAAAATAACTGCAGCTGTTGCAGTTTTATAAATGTGGTTCCCCCAAGAACCTACTCCCTCGGCCACCCATCCGAAAGGGCTACCTATCCTATCTGCACACATATAGTATAGATATAGTATAGGCCAAACATATACCATATAGAAGTGGGTAGATGTGGATGGCCTGTTGTCGCACGGTTGGTTTGCTCTCCACAATAAAAGTGAAATTTTCTCGTGCCAAATTTTTGTTGACGGCGAAGGCGGGTGGTTGGGCCTTCGGTGGTAACGACTGTTAGGCACTGACACTGAAACAGTTTGTGGATAACTTTTCCGAGGTTGAACAAGGCAACATAAACTAATTGCAACCACATTTCCGTCTGCCTTGCAACCAAGAAGTAATCAAAAAAGCTACTTTGATAAATTAAATGAGAACTAATGATAGCGAACTGGCAATTAATCAATGTGGCTCTTGTTCATTCATTGCATTCATTCAGTTGAATGTCTAATTTTTTGTATATCTTATTTAGCGTCATAAAAATTTCATTGGAAACCAACTCAAAAGGCTAATAGCCGCAAAAGAAAACACAATTCTTGTTTATAGATCTCCACATTTATTATTCCACTAAACTGAACCAAACAACTCTCATCGAAATCCAATTTTGATTTCATTGATCTGATCAGAATTCAAATACCTAGAGCCAAATTATGACAAGGAATCAGTGGAAGAGAAATATAGTTTTTAAAAATATTCATGAAGTCATCAGTAGCATCTGGAATGAGTGTTTCATTGAGAATACAAATACTCGTCTAGATTCCCAAGCTGTGATAATGCCACAGGTCTAGCCGGGCAACGGTCGTGGGCCTCACCGAATGAAATGCGTCATTTATTGATTGCAAATAAATATATGGGAAAGCAACAAGCGACACCAAAACCAAAAGCTAAAACCAAATCGGATGCAATTGCCTCATTCGAAAATGAGTCAATAGCAAGGAACTGCCCAAATGAACACAAATATGATGATACCATTTACATTCACAAACAATATTAGTCAAATACAAATTCGTTTGAAAGAGATATCACTAAAATTTTACAATTAAATGTAATCCATGTTTCACATTTCAGCAATGTTGAGACATAATTGACAAAACAGTTTAAGCTTAAAATAAATGAGTATTTGATTTTACTTTTTCATCGTAGCCCGTATCACCTGACTGGAGTAAACTTGACAACTTAAATAATAAACAAACACTAAGAGTTGCATTCCCCCAACTATAGTAGGTCGTGTGGCCCCTTGCCATATGCTCAAGACTCAGGATAGATAACACCTGGGCGCCCGTTTTTACCCTAACTCATATGTACAACAACTGCAGTCATAATAACATTTAATATTTAAAATAATTAATACAAACACTATTTCAGAACCAAATTTAACAGTTTTAAATATTCAACGATTTAAATATTCGACGATTCAACAATGTTTATAAGGTCATTCTAAATTTTCAAATATTTCCTTTCATTTGAAATCAGAACTCAAGTATCTATTTCTGGGAAAGAACTTTATTGCTTTATAATTTATTTAGAAAATAATAAAAAAAAAAAATATGTATAATGAACATACGAGGTGTGTTCAAAAAGTAAGGTGACTCTTCAAATTTCGCGAATTTCAAATTTTTCGATTATCGATTTTTTTGTTTTGTTATATTGGTACACTCTTCCCTAACATCTGTACCAGTTTCAATGGAACATCCTCTTTGTTTGGTTGTGATAGGCGTAAGTTAGTTATTTTGCGAGCTCGGCGATTTTTGCTATCGAAAATATGGATCAAGGATTTGGATTTTTGGCCAAAAACAACACCACAATAATGCCTCAGCCACCATATTCACCGGATTTGGCCCCATGTGACTTTTTCTTGTTCCCAAACTGAAGATAATCGAAAATTTGAAAATTTGAAATTTGAAAGTCACCTTACTTTTTGAACACACCTCGTATAACTTCTAAAAGGTTTCGATAATCGAAAAATTTGAAATTCGCGAAATTTGAAGAGTCACCTTACTTTTTGAACACACCTCGTATATATTGGACAGAACTGTGTTCCGACTTCGGATTATCTCTCTTATTTTCGTCAACCACCCATCCATGACCATGACTAATGTGGCTTTGAAAGCTAATGGGTCACTTCTAGCCGCGTTATCGGTGCAATTGAAAGGAAATACGAGTTGAATGAATGGGTTCGCTTTGGAACCGCTTATCTCCAGAGCAGAAATGTAAATAAATGAAAGTTATTTGCGCTGATTCGACGCTTTCTGGGCCCGTGCTAATTCCCCAAACTAATTGACACAGATAAAGGCGAAGGAATGGATCTAAAAAACTTGCAGTGCGTTAATGAAATTAAAAATAGATCAACAGCTGAAAATACACGGCGAGTGAGAGAGACGGGGCGATTAGTAAAGTAGCCAGAAAAGTCAAACAAAGGCAAACAGGGGTAAAAGAGGGAGAGCGCGAGGAGAGAGGGGAAGCAAACACACAAAGAACTAGAACATGGTAAATCAGAATGGAAAATCAAATGTGGTTTGTCTTGTTTGTTTGCTCTTCACACTTGTTATTACACAAAATCTCGAATATGTTAAATGACGGAACCTTCAGCTTTTAGCGCTCTTTTTCATCGAGTTGCTAGGCATTTGGAGTCGAGCAAAACAAAAAAATATGTGTAAGTTCCACGGTGTCTTACCACATTTGCATAAGCTCTACGAAAGAGACCACAACAAAAACCAAACGAAACGACTTTTTTTTACCGATTTATCAACCAAACGCACACTAAACCATCCACTTTCTTTATTTTTGTGAACTTTTACGATCTTTTCGATCTTTTTGAATACTTTGGCTCACTATTCACCGCTTCTTTTCTGTCGGTGCAAATTATTTGGTAAGCACTTTAGCGCCTTTGTTATTGTTTCGTTTTGGCTTCGATTTTTACAGGCGTCGCATTGCGTTGCGCGAATCCGATTATTGCACCGATTTGGTTTGCAAACTGTGTATATAGCGTGTTATCCGTATCCGTGAGCTTAGCAGGAACAAGATATTTCGTTAATGTAACATTTTCTCCCGGCGATTTGTGCACTTTTTGTTACTTTTAGCGGAGCACCGAAAACACGGACAACGCGGATGAAAACATTTCGAACTGAGTGGGTGTTTGAGCGTTGCTGTCGCCTTAAATACCCACCGAAGAAACCACTCAAACGCGCTCTCCCGCTCTCTCTCTGCGTTTATACGAAGCTCAGTTCGTAAACAAAGTATATTTCATTTAGTTCATTAGACAGCTTTATACAAGGAACGGTAAGATGTTGTTTTATTTCCACTACTACGAAATTTCATAATCTAAGAATAATAAATTTTTGACTCTGGCTTGGAGAAGAGCATATCCAATGCTTTAGTTTTTGCCATTTTTTAGCATAAACCTCTCTTTTTTCTCACAAATTCAGAAGAGAGCGAGACAGTGGGCAAAATAATAAAATCTTACGATATTTATTTTAAAATGTGAAAAAATGTATTTTATAAAAATTGTATATAGTAACAAATTGTTCTTATTTTAATTAGCTCCGATTTGAAAACTACTTGAACATGTTTTGATTATTAAAATATAAAATGGGAATGCAAGTATTCATGTACATATAAAAACACAATATATAAACTCTTTGATCCAATCCAATAGTAGGTTCCTAACATGATGACAATTAATTACGTAAGTTCCCCAACAATAATTAATTAATCGAACTAAAATTATCACTCAATTCACACATTTAAGTAAAAAGCAAAACTGCCAGACCTGTGAAATAATAAGTACCGGCAAAAGCCGTGTTGCCGTACTGAGACAACGAACTCTGAATTGAATTGAATTTCAAATTTTTGGTCACACCAAAAAATAGACCTACCTTCTTTGCATTTTTTCCTAGATACACTTCCGCTAGATAGAAATTCTAGAAAACATGTCCGAATTACAAGTGAGATACCATTCTGTTTATCTTAAATAGTGAACTTCTTATAAAACAAAGTTTACTTTAAAATCAACAGGAATTCAACCAGGCGGCCGAGGATGTGAAAAACTTGAACACCACACCCGGTGACAATGACCTTTTGGAGCTCTACAGCTTGTACAAACAGGCCACAGTTGGCGATTGCAATACAGGTGGGACTCGGTCATTATCCTTTCTTGTCCATCATAACTAATCGGTATGTAATTCAGATAAACCCGGCTTCCTCGACTTCAAAGGCAAGGCCAAGTGGGAGGCTTGGAACAATCGCAAGGGACTGAGCAATGCCGACGCCCAGACCGCCTACATCACCAAAGTCAAGGCCTTGATCGAGGCCGTAGGCCTTAAGTCTTAGATTTAATCCACAAGGAATATTGCATTTTAAATTTGAGTTGTCGTCAAACGCACAAACTTTAATTATCCATCTTTCGCACAAAATACACAATGAATGCGTAACGTAAAGCATATAATTTGTCATAGTGGGAATGGTTATATATTTAACTATATAGGATACTGCTTAGGCTTCTGTTGGGGAGGTGGCAGTGCTGCCCTGGGACTGGCGTTGGCGCTCATACACTTCTCGCTGCAGCTCGCGAAGATTCAGTTCCAGTGTCTCTACAACATCGAAATTCATGTCCTGACGCGCCTGCTTAATGTAGCCCTTGATGATGTTAATCTGTTCGATAAGCGGATCGTCCAGGGTAGACTTGCTGGCCGCCTGCGGTGCCGACCAGTTGGTCAATGATTGAAGATCCGACTGGGGAGCATATGGAGTTACAGATGAGGTTTACCAGCAATCATTATCTACTTACCCCCTGAGCGAAGGAACCGCTTTCTGGACCTGGAACGGCCACTCCAGATTGGTTTGCTATGTTATTTCGTTCGTAAGCTTCCATGGCCATACGCTGTTCGGTGAGGATACGCTGCTGCGTTTCCATGCGTCGACGCTCCTGCATCTGACGGATGTGCGCCTCCTCTGGCAGTGGTGGAAGCGATAGCATTCGCTCTTTAATGGCTTGAATGCAACCCAACCGAATGGCTTTTTTCAGGGCCTCCTCTCGGCTTCCTGGCTCACAAAAAATGGCTAGGATGCGCTTGCTTCTCATGTCCATGGCCTCCGCCACTTGTCCAATCTTGCCCCGCAATGCACCCGCATCCGCCAGCGTGAAAATGGTGTCCCCGTCGTTTAGGCTATTGATGATTTTCAGATACATATCTAGATCGGGGGTCACTTCTTTTTGCAACTGGCGAATTTGTTCGTATACTTGCACGAGAAGTGGGCGACAAGTGCGACTCTCGTGCATGTCCCGCCGAGTGTCCAAGCAGCCAAAGGCAATGCTCGCATAGCCGGATAGCGTTCTCATGTTGGTGCAGCTGCTGGAGGGACTCACTTCTCGTGGTGGAAAGACTAGCCAATTGCACTAGAGAATTAGAAAATGATTAATATACATTTTTAGTTAATTTTTTACGCTTACTAACTTGCATCCTCTAAGGGTAGGAATTTAGAGCAATCATTGCACATTATTCCGCCACACAAACGGCAGTGGTGCTGTCTGCGGGCGATGTGGAAACTTTTTGCGCAGCTGGGACACAATTTGACGGAACTTCCATCCAGCCAGGCAACCGTTTGCTGTTCGTGCTGACGCCGCTGCACTGAATCCGTGGGCAAATCCTTAAGTAGGCGGTGTAACCTAATTATCAATTTGTTTGTTTCACTGGCATATCGCTCCAGTCTGGGGTTTCGAATGGACTGGAAGTAATCCAAGTGGGAGCACTCAGCTCCCGCCTGCTGCCTGGCCATATGGTTGAAGATGTTAAGACGGGAGCGAGCATTACTGGGTCCATTGCGATCTCCGTTACCATTAGCATTCTTGGCAGCACCTGAAGAGGAGGATCCTGCTGGCGAGGCTACAGAAGGCGGCTTTTCATCTTCAAATGGGTTTAAGATCTTCTTTTTGGCCTTCGTAAAGATGTCTTTAAGGGATTTCAGAGCCGCTTCTTCCTCGGCATGCTGGCGGGCAAAGTGATCCGTGAGTACGTCAATGGACTTGAGGTCCGCTCGGCAAATGGGACATAGGAATCCCTCGAGGATCTCCCCACTAGCCGAGCTTTGGTCATCATCACTGTCAAAAGGATTCCCAGACATTCCGGCGATGAGTAATCGAAAATTATTTGGTGGGTGTGTTTTTGTTATGGTTTGCTCCCCGAAAATCCACCGTTTAGAAGCTTTCCATTTGTCCTAAATCAATAGCATGACTAGACATACGCCAGCTAAAGTTCGCAGCTTCGTTTTCTAGTTAAACTTATCAAAACTAATTCATTTATTTTTTATGGTTAATATTTCTACAACTAATCAAAATCAGTTTACTCTTCTTTTTGCCTAATTGCCATTCACCAGGAAATGGAGGAGATTGGGCTTCAGCAAGTGCGTTTGCAGATGGGGATAATTAAAAATAAGCTACGCTACTACGGGTGTGGAAAATGCTTAAGATATTTTTTTTAGTGATTATGGTAATTCGGTGTAAATGAATTTTTCTAGACATTATGTAAGCAAGCTTAACAAATATATCAAACCTATTTGAATATTTAAATATTTTTGATGTTTTCTTATTTGCCAATACTCATCACCTGCAGCCCTGGTAGGAAAGCTCTTCGCAGTGAATGTCAAACGCTCAAAGAAGCAGAAAGTTGCCTGCCTGGAAGTTTTCTCGGGTTTTCCGTTTTAAAACAGTCGTGGGTGTGAAAATCCTTTGGATAAAAAGTCTCTAAGCAAGCTCAGCTCTTTCGGCACACCTACGCATTAAATTAACCCAATTTAAAGCCACAGATCGGCTGCTAAAATGTCGGAAAGATCGAAAGGTGACGTGTCCGCTCGCATAAACAACAATGCAAATCCGACGCGTGTCGTTAAAAATCCGCTTTTGAGCGCCTCCGTGACCGGCCTAAGTTTTGACGACTTTCCCAACAAGCCGCAATTGCTGCCAGCTGCTCCGCCCGTGGTCCATGCGGCGCTTCCTCCGGCTCCCGTCCTCATCGCTGGCATCTTGAACCGCGGTAAGTGGGTCAGGGCTCGCTCGAGAATCCAACGTGTAGTGGGGGGTCACCTGTTGCTCCAGTGCGACAATGATAAGCTGATAAGCCGAGTACTTAACCTTCTAATCAGTTTATTACACTGTACATTGCATTACAAATGAACAAGATACTTCAAGCTTCCCAAAAATGTCGAAGAAAGTTATTTGGGTCAGCACTTGTTTTGGTTTCCTACGTTCACATTTTCTTATATTTAAGGCTTGCTTTTCGATTCTTAGAAGTTACTAGTTCTTTTGATTACTCTGTAGGTTTCTGTCTAAAGAAGCATTAAACGTCTCATTCAGTAAGGTCGGGCTTAAAATTGTAGATCAGAATGAATTTGTAGTGGCCTTTAATTGCAGTTGACTAAACTCTTTAGAATTCTTAATGATCACCAGTTTGTGGCACTGTTAAACTGATGTAAACTACACTGTATTTCAGTGTTTTCTCTGATAAGCTGTAGATTAAGATCTTTTAAATATTAGTTTCTTTTGCAATTTGGTCATTACGATTATCTAAAATGAATGAAACAATTTCTTAGAAAATTGAATAGCTCAAACAGGTGTCATTTTATTACTTCTTATCTGGAATGGCATTTTTATTAAACTCTTTCGACTCTCTTTTGGCACAAAAACATAACAACAATCTACTCCATGCTCCTCGTAGAGTGTGATCTATATGTGGGCAGCTCCAGCGTTGTCTTTCTTCGCCGGCAACACCACACAATGCTCCAGATGAGAGCCGCGATCAGCAGGAGCAATAAAATGGCTCCCAAGCAGATGGCTGCAATGGCTGCCTCGCTTAAATACACATCCCTCACATCGATGGTGAGGTTCCTTTGATTACCCGCCGCATCAATTGCGATTAATGATACCTTTGGTTCGCAGCAAGAGGCCATGTATGTGGCCTTTAGGGGTTCTGTGCTCCCTGCGGTATAATAGTTTCTGTAGAAAAGACCTTCCGGCGGCGTAGCCTGCAATCGCAACATGCCCGACTGCCAATCCTGAGCGGTAACATCCACGGTCCAAAAACGCTCTCCACAATTTTGGGATTCGGGTGTAAGGTAATCACACCGGTTGCCAAACTCCCAAGACAATGTAGGTCCGGTTGAGTCCTTAAAATAGAAATTAGATTATAGTCGTTGACTCATTAGTAAAAGTGTAGCTGACATACTTGTGCATCTATGCTGGTCACTACTTTGAGATTAACTGCTAGAGTAGATGTTTCACGACCATAATTTGTAAAGGTGATCCTGTCTGTAGTGCCTTGAGCAGTCCCAGTGGGCACTAATACTGTCAGTCGCACTGTGGCCGTCTCCAGGGCACGCAGGCTCAACCTATAAAACAGAAATTAAGTAATTCTCTACCTAGGAGTAATGTTTAAAGTACTCCAACCTGGTGGGGTTCAGTTGGACCAGAAAACGCCGCTCGTCAGTGACCTGTATTGTGGAGTAAACTGTCTCTGTTTTCATGTTGGTGACCTCAAAGAGAAGAGAGGCTGTCTGACCAGCCATCACTAAAAGTTTAGATTCTGTACCCAGCTCGATTTTTGTGCCACATCGCTGAAGGAGCATGGCATTTAGGGTGCTCCTGGGCTGTCCCGTTGTGGAAGCCAACAAAGTTTGATTCAGACTTGGAGAACTCTGAATTTCTTTTTCTGAAAAGGTTTCAATTTCGTTCTTTGGTGATTCCACATCCTCCTCCAACTTCTCGGTATCCTTTTCCTTGTCGGGAAACTGGATTTTGGCCGACTTAGCCTTTGTTTGCCCGCTTTTGTAGTAGCTATCGATGCGCTTGATGATGTCGCCTGTGGGAAAATGAGGAAAAACATTAGAAAATCAGTTGCGCACACGTGTTTTTGTCATTATATGAAAATGTAGAGATGATGGCGTCAACGCTGACGTTTTCATCCAAGGTTGAAGCACGGTTATCAGCCGAGATTCGTATTCATTCGGACAAACATAACAGATCCCGGGCTCTTATCACTCAACCCAGAGTCCCAGAGCAATTAATTAGCTAACGGGGCTCAGTTCTCTGCGACGATCGATACCGCCAGGTTGTTTGTTACTTAGTTTTCATAACTTACCCAAGAAGACATCCGCTTTTCTTTCGGCGCGTACGAAAACATTGTACTTCTCATTCAGCTCGGGCTGTAGTTTTAATTTGAAAACTGCCGCGCGTCGTAACTTGTTTAGCGGTACGTAAGCATCAAGCTCTTGGGGATTCGTTGTCTCGGTGATATTAGCTCCTCCGAATTTTGCCAGTTTCTTCAAATTAATCTCTATAAATAAAGTAAACAGAAAAATAAACAAAAAAATAACAGCTGTTTGCTATTCACCACGCCACGCAAACATTCGTTACAGGTGTTTGGCCAGCGTTGCCAGACCACTGCAATTCGTCCCACTTTCAATAAAAACGTAAAAATTGTGCAACAAACATTCAATTCGTTAGGCATCAAACATGTTTTCCAAAACCACAATAGCAAATACTAATTAGCAAACATTAAATAAATTATTTTCTTCGGTAGTCGTGCGGTAAATCCGAGGCCTTGGCAACCCTGGTCTAGCAGCTGCGCCGTAGTTGTTGTGAAAGAAAACACGTCTACAAAAAATCGCGACAAAAACAATTGGTTTTCCTTGTGAAACCAGCGAATTACGAACGATTAAAAGCCGCAAAAGTGTTGACAAATAGGCATTTTAATTGCCGGTCTAGATCAGTGCTGACAACATAGCCAGCAAGTGCAAAAGCACAACAGAAACTTGTCACTTCTTCAACTTGGCCTTGACAGTGAGTCGATTTGCCTAATTTTGTTGTTAAAAAACGTATGTATGTTTGTATGTGAAATCAACCAAAAAAAGTGCTATACTAAAAGATGTAAAATTCCACTCAAAGGCAATATATAAAGGACACAAACGTATAAGTGTCGATTGCCAAGTCTCTAGGTTTTTAGTCAGTCTTTATGAATTTAATTAAATTATTCCGAAATATATGTGACTGAAGTGAATTTTCAAAATTTAAATAACTCGCCTAAAAGGTCACAATTCATTTAGAGTTGAGGCAGGCAACGAAAAAGCCGCCGCAAAAAATTGATTTCTTCAGGGTGTACAAGTTATAGTGTGCATTTGTATTGGTGACTTCCGGGAGATAACTTTGTTTATAATCGCCTGTTCCAAAAGTTATAAAAAGTTTGCAATACTTTCACTGCTTATTTTCAGTTTTGTGCGATAAGTGGCTGGGCTGTTTTGAATCGAAATGTTTTATTCCATCATTTTTGAGTCATAATTATTTTCTGTCTGGCCCTGTGCAATCTTCATTTTATAGGCTATATATAAAAAATTGGACTTTGTCCGGTCGTTCAACGTGGCGTATGATTAATCTGAGGGAACGCTTGTTATATTTGATCCATTCTGTAACCATTCTACCTTTAAAGTTAGTCAACAAAAACATTTTGTGCCGGACAGTTGAAAGTGCTCTATGTTTAAATATTATCAGAAAAAAATATACTCACCTTAAAGGACGAAACACAAGAAAGGGACTAGAACACAAAGTGCTGACACAAGAAATTAAGGTGAAGTCCGAAAAATATATAATTTAATAGCTTAACACACAAAAATAAAACGATTTTTATTGGCAAATGTGTATTGTATAAATTAGTAATCACCATTTAAAATCGTTATCTTTTGTGTGGTTTAGTGTTAATTGAGTTTGCTTTTCATCGTTTTCGTTTTATTTGTGGACCCTTACAAAGCTAAAACATTTATTACTTTATCTGTAAAACAGTAAACATACATATATATTGAAAACTCCTTTGTACTACAGTTAAGTGTTAAGTGTTGTGTTTTGTTGAGCATTATTATTATACTAGCGTTTTGGTTAAGGAAAGCGTTTGGGACTTCGGCTATGTACAAGGATCAGCATAGCTGACTTGGGATTAGAGAGCAGCAATGCCTTAGGAGTTAGTCAAGGATCTTACGAGCTAAGGACATAAATTACACAGTAGTACAGTTGTTGTTCTTTCTGGGAAGCTATTGGACGCTTGTGCCATTATCAAGAGGATTAGACTTAGAATCTAGGTAGGTTTGGCACACAGACTCCTACACATTTAAGTCGCTTAACAATTAAAATACAACCCTGCGTTAGTAAGTGCAAAAGAGCAAACGGAGTCGGTGCTTGGTAACTCGCTTTTTGCGAAAGACTAACCACCATTCGGCGTCTCCATTGTCGCCCGTCTCATATTCGCATCAATTCGCACATGGAGACTAGACAACGTCGTGTCCACCGGCAGGTCCAACTCTTGGGTACCCTGATACGCGTCTGCAACCAGGGTGAGCTGAAAAAGTTAAGTCATATTTAATGACCTGTTTTTAAGAATGTAAAGATTACCGCTAAAGTGCCGCTAAAAGCCATAGATCTTCGAAAAAAAATTGTTGTTAGTTAAATCTACTTCAAATGTTCCCTCGCTTTTGGGGCTTCCCAAAGCCTCCAAACGCAGGAAGTTCCAATTATATAGATTTCTTGTTCCGCTTTGGAGAATTGGAGAACAAAATACTTAATTTGCCATTTTCGATGTTTGGGTTAATTTCGGAATTTTTTGTCTAGGCTTCCTTTCTACCAACAGATTTGCCCTTCACTTTTCTTTCCATAACCTAGTTTTGCAGTGGCCGCACAGCAACAAAAGATGCACCATCATCGACAACAAGTCGCGCGGTCTTGAGCACCACCTGTCGTCGTTGCCGGTGCCGCCTGGCCACTGGAGAGGTAATCCAAGTGGCTTCGTCTCAGTTGGCTGCTTGGGCAACACTCGGCTGGATCTGGTTGCCACTTTCAGTTTCTCAACACTTAGGCCTTACCCGCCTTACCCGAATCTGGCTTTGGCCCGCACACTTTAATTACCCCAATTGCGGGTCAGGTTTGCTGGCTATAATCGCGCTCATATCTCACCGTATTGCCAGCTATATGCTGTCCGTGCTCGGTGCTCACGATGTGGATGATCTCGCCACCAGATCGGATGGCCACCTCGCCCAAAATACCGCCCACAGCGTCCTCCGTTTCGTTCTCGCTGCCCGAACGCTCCCCATACCAAAGAAGGAATAACTGAAAAGATTTTAAGGGTTTCGCGAGATTTCAGATTAGATAATTAGATATAAACTTAGAAATTTTTTAATATGATCTCTTGATCAACTCACCCTGATCCTCTTCTTGAGCAGAGTGATGGCTGCATCTTGGACCAGTTCCGTGTGTGGTGGAATCGATGCTGTCGATATGAAAACGGCACTGTCGTAGGGAACCAGCTCGGCGGCATGGAGAACGCCCACAAACGAGTTGCCGCCTTCATGCTCCTTGGTGCTGTTTAAACCAGCGATGAACTCGCGGGTGTTGTTAAAGCTGAAGGCAGAGGGGGCACCTACATAGGGGAAGAAGAATTAGTTACGAAACTTTACTGGTTAAGAATCAGTTTTGAAAAAGAATTTAATGTGATTTTAGTAGATTTCTACCCTTTTTTATAAATCATTTAATAAGGACGGAAGACATTGACTCACCCGCTCCATTCAGAGTTACCAAAACAATCTTGATATCGATGTTCTTGTCCTGCAAAGCATCGATGTAAAGTCGCTTCGCCTGTTCCAGAGATGCGGACGAGGGATCCACAATGACCGCCAGAGGCATGCGGATGTACACATCCTTGATGTAATTACGCAGCTGATCGGCCGGCAGTAGTTCCGCCTTTGAGCCACCGCTCACTTGGATGTGTTTTGGCTGTTTTCTAGGACTGGGCGTTGTTGTTGTTGTTGTTGTTGATGTGGTGGTAGTTGTCGTGGTCGAAGTGGTTGTCGTTGAGGTAGTAGGACTGGCAGTAGGAGGATTAGGTGCCTGGGTGGTCGCCCAAGGGAAGCCACCGAAACGAGCCGTGAGAATTGGCAGAGGTGGCTGAGTGGTGGTTGTTGTGGGATTTGACTTCACTTCCGACGGCTCATCGTAGTAATCATCCTCAGAAGAGTACTTAAACTGATTGGGTTTATCCTGACTGGGCAGTTGTTGGACTTGGAGCCTGAGGAATAGGATCATGATGTTCTACTTGATAAAACTGATTAGCGGGTGGCTGTTCATCCATCGATTTGGTTGCCTCTTCCTCGACGTAGTCGGAGGATGCATGGTGCTCCTGGTCTCGCTGGGGAAATCTTTCCGCCTTTGCCTGACGCACATATTCCGGGATCATGGTGGTGGCAATCTTTGCTGTGGTGCTAGCCACCATCTCATCCTCGGCCGTGTCTTCGTAATAGTAATCCCGAACAGGTTTGTCCACCTTTGTTGCTTTTTTCTGCGTTGGAGCATCTTCCATCATCTCGGCGGCAGTGTTTTCCTCGGAATAAGGAGCCATGGTGTTCAGCCTACCCTCCATGGGCCTCATGGTGCTCATTTCCATTTCCATTGCTTGGGAGTTTTCAGTTTGATCTTCCTCCAAACTGTTCCGATGCTGTTCCATCTCCTTTTCTACCTCGGTGTCTAGCTGAGCCTGATCGAAGATCTCATCATTGCCTCCCAGGCTGGAACCAATCATTTCGCCGCCATAGTCCTCATCCTCACCAGAAACTGTACAACTTAGGAGCAACGCCACCAGAAGCACACCCAGCCGAAGTTGCGTTCTCAAAATCATTTCGTTCGATATATTTCGCCTCTAGCAATCCTCACTTGTCACCATCAAAGTCTGCAAGAAATAACCAGACAAAATGTGTCAGTTTGCGATTTTTGGAAAGCTTTTGAGAGTTCAATGATTGATTGATTGGCTGACTTCTTTCGCTACTTAATTGACGCAATTATTCATGATTATTTCGAGTTCACTTTTGTCCGACCGTTATTTTTAGTTTTTCTATAGGTTTTTCGTGTTATTTTTTTTTTTCATCTGCCTGTCTTCTTTTCCACACTTTCGCAATGCTAAAAAGTGAAATGTTATGACTGCTCGTTGTGATTATCGTCTTGTTATTAAAATCATTTTCAATAATTATGCCTAACAAATTGAATATTTGAGGAAATTTCCATTTAACTACGAAATTCTGGGGAACTTGTTGCTAAAATTTGTTTTCATCATTCGAAAGTTTTTAATTTTATTGAAGGGAATAAGAAAAAAGATAACCGGGGATTTTTTCTAAATTTCTTAGCTATATATATAATTAAAGGTCTTTCAAAAAGATTTTACTTTAAATATTACAAACTATTAGAACTTAATCTTTCATAAAACAAAGTTCGTTAAGATTTTAAACCGACTTTGATCTAATCTCCTGTTTACCTTGTTGGAAAACGGATCTAAACATGTTTTATAACTATTAATTGGTACTAAAATATGGTTTATATCATGCCCCAACCAAGGAAAAACAATCACATAAAAGAATACGTTGTTAAAGACAACAAAAAATGTAATAACTTTTTTGAAGCGCCAAAAAACTTTTTGGCCAAAGTCATGTTCATGAGCATGCAATAATGCAAAAGTAAGCCTTGATGCACGAAACTTAGCCAAATTATTTAATGTAAACAGACATAAAAGACAGGGAAAACACAAGTATGTGATGAAAATTTGTGCTGAAGATCAACTGAAAGCCCAAGCAGCTCTTTGGAATAAAACCGGGCAGGGTATTAAAGATATACATACTAAGATATGGTCAAGGTTATGTTAAACCTGCTGCAGGTGAGGAAAATAGAAACACAGAAAACGAAGACGACGTTGACAATAAAGCAAATTTGCCATAAAAACAAAAAAACGACTTCTCGTGGCTTTGTAAGCTTTCATACATGTGAATTCATTTGTGTATAACAAAAACAACAAAAAATAAAAACATAATAAATAAATAAACTTGATTTAGTCGGGGGAACACGCTAACTTTTTGGCTTCAATTTGATCAATTTATAATATTTAATTAAGCAAATGTAATTAACACATTGGTTAAGGAATCATGCAAACGTTTTTACGATATGCTATTTCCCTCTGCACTCGTCGTTTGTGTATTTAAACTTTTTGCTGCATTTTTGTTTGCCTAACAAATTGCCCACAAATCATTTTGAGTGATTGATTTCTTGGCGGCTCTCGCCCCGCGATGTGCAGCGTAAAGAAGAGCTCGGTGGTGGGGCGCAAGCAGCTGCCATTAATTAACAATATGCAAAGCCGCAAAAAAGAAATAAATAAATATATATATATATATATATATATATATTCAAGTTGAAACAAGCAAAAGTATCGCATTGATGCGTAAAATGGAAATAAATTAAGTTAAAATATTCTGCGTTCGTTTTTCTCGTTTGGCAGGCTGCCTGAATCAACTTCAAATTGATTTGTACATTTTTGTGCGTTGCAAGGTCATCGCATTGGGGGTCAGCGGGGATCATGCAATTTAATGGCCAGAGCTTAGGCCTCTTTTGAGGTTCCCCCATTTGTATTTTCTCTTTTGTAAATCTTAGCCATAATAAATTCGTAAAAGACACGTTCGTCTGTCGTACCCATACTTGGTCTTTATCGGTTTCAAAAGCTTAAATCCATTGCACAATCCCCATTCATAAGACATCTTCGAGCGAATGCTGGTTGGCGTTTGTTTTCTAGATTCGCAACCTCTGCAGGTCACGTAGTTCTAGGGAAGATTAGCCTTAGCTCAGCGGAACTCCTCAGTTCCGAAAAATTGAAAGTTTTTGGAGAAAGAAAGTGTTCTTGGCTATGAAATAAATTTTTATTAAGAACAAAAGTATTTTTTTGTACTTTTTTCAGTGGAAAACTTTGTTGTGAGAAAATTTTGCTTGATAGGTTTAAAAAAAGTCTGGAACTACCTACAAGCTTTGAAGTTTTTAGTCCATTTATAAGTTCGACTAACATAATATATCATTTTACCTTATATAATAGCATGTGGTACTTAATTCCGCTATGAATATGTTAGCCGGAAGATTAAGAGGCAGCTGTAATTAGAGTGGACCATAACGGTCCGCACTTCAATGGGGTTCTTCATTATTTATAGGCACTTTATTTTGTAATCAAGGAAAAGTGCTTAGAGAAAAAACCAAGAAAAAAAAAAGTAAGAAAAAACTTTAAAAACAAAACCCGCTGGGGCAGTTCATCAATCAGCCACAACAGCCGTCAGCAGCTGATTCGCTTTGGGCCCATAAAAAACTACACAGCGGCCACAAAAAGGTTCTATAAACAAATTAGAGAGGCGAGCACGTTGTCGGTTTTTATTTATTTACATATTTCTTTTCAGTTTTTTTTTTTTTTTTTTTGTTGCCTTTGCAATTACGTGGAGTGAGTCGCCGAGATGTGATTAACAGACGCGTAAGCATTTATTTTCGCTATGATTTTTATATCACTCGGACGTTATTCTGCCGTTTTTATGGTCACAACAAATTAATGAAAAATAATTGCGAAAATTATAAATTCAAATTGCGTTCCTATCCATCCCTCCCTTTGCTTTCCCACTGGGCCCCCCTTCGTGTCAGCTGAATCGACTTGAAATGCACTCTAATTGTGGCAGCTTTGTTTGACGATCATCAGTGATGAATGCCTCGTGGATTGGTCAGCGGGGATTGGATTGGATCAGGGGGGGAATAGACCCTTTATTGTTGATTTTCTTGACATTGAAAAGCCAATTGATGTTGTTGATTTTAACGGGCTATGAAAAGTGTTATTTGAGGGGTTCTATTGGTAGTAGAAAAAACACTTAACATTCTTGAAACTAATGGGATTCAGTTCGTAAACTTTGAGGGCAGGCTGCATGATAATAAATTAACAATAATAGATTATTCTTTGCTGAATTTTGTTCCGCCTGCTTTAGTTATTCACTGCTTTGATCTATATAGTTTATATAGCTATTTTGCATTTATGCATATCCCACATTGATTATTTTTGATTAAGTTAGCTTAGTTAAACCTGCTTTTCTTTCACTTGCCTTTTATGAAACTTCTTGTCGACGTGGCCCGATCAGCTATCCAGCCTTCTTTTCGATTAATACTTCTTATTAAATGTTTTGTGTAAATTTTTGAAATTCAAAACAAATAACTTAGGCAACAAACTTGTTTTCGCCTCTCTTGCACGAAAAAATCTCAATGAATTTTAATTACACTTTAAGCGGTGCACTTTATTTATGAGTTTTGCCCACTTCTTTGCATTGTTTATTAACTTGCAGATTATGCAAATCACGGCAACAACAAAACTCTACCGCACAGAAATTCACTTGCAGCAGAAATTGCCAACGACCGAAACGACAACAACAACAAAAAGCTGTATAAAATTAAGAGCGTTCGATTTTTCGGCTGTGTATTGGATTAACCCGTTTCAAAATCTATATTTCTCAGGCGCGACTTTGGCTCAGATCATAAAGTTGGCAAAGCAGCTGCCGCTGTTGCTTGTTTTTTTGCTGGCGTTCGCGTCAACGTCTCAAATGAAACTGAAAGCAGAAACACAAGCTCCGACCAGCGGAGCAGTTCGCAGTACGCTGCTCATTTCCACTCCACTCTGCTCTGATCAGCTCAGTTTAGCTCGGCCCTACTCGGCTCGGCTCTCTTTACTCGGCTAACAGCAGCAGGTATATGGCTCTGGCTCTGACTGTATGGTATGGATGGGCGATGATGCTATGGCTATATGGCCAACCAGTGGTTGGAATCTAGAAGAGCGTGCCACTGATAAACCGAAGCAACGTGCTGGAGCAGCGGAGCTGATGCCACAATTGGATATGTTCATGACACGATTGTTTGGTGGCAGCGCCAATGGAAATATCTTTGGTCAGCTGGCTATTCTGTTCCCCATGGTATTATCAAGTTGTTATGCAACCGGTGCTATATCATTCTCAACACTAAACAAGCTGATATTACAGCTTAACATTCAAGATCTTATCTTCTTAATATGTCATAAGCAATAAAACATAAACTTAAAGCTAGGAATGTTTAACGAACTTTTGATTAATGATTTATTTCACCAGAAATCAGCAAAATTAGATCATCTATTTGTGACTACTAAACACATTTATATTGTTCCTTAAATGCCAGGATACGAGAGGTAATTTCTTCAGTCATTGGTCCCATGCCAGCCGACCGATATTTGGCAAGAAGAGTGAAAAGTTCGTCCCTCGAAGAGTTATCTGGGAATTGTACTAATCGCTCCATGTCATCGGCAGCTTTGATTATCTTTTTGTGAAGCTCTGTGAACACATTAAATATCATATTCGATTGGTAGTCATTTAAGGGCCTGGTCAGCGCTTGTTTTTTAGCTGGCGATCCTCTCAAAAAGGGTGTTTCACCAGCTTTGTTGAATCCCTGGCAAAAATCCATTTTATCTTTCAACGGGCTTGTCTTAACGATAGTCCTTCCACTATCCAAATAGTTCTGCATTGTTTTTTTATAATCTGCATACTCGGGATAGGGCAACAAAGCGATGATCATATCCCCTAGTAATCTTTTCATTAGGATCACTGATTCATCCCATTGGTCATCTTGGAAACGCCTGAACGTGGTGGAAGAATTCGCAAATCGCTGCGGTATTGCCTTCAACAGGATTACCCCTGGCTAATGTCTGTGATTCCCACAGGAATTACTTTATGGAAAAGTATTTTCATTTACTAATACTCACTAGCAATCCCAGGAACAGAATCGTCCGTGGAAATATCATTTCTCAATTCTTTGCAACTGACTGCGATTTTCCAAAGGAATCTGTCGCTTTTATATGAGTTCTTGGATCCAGCTAATCAACATATTTCCTCTATAATATATAAGAAATACCTTATCTGGTAAATAATATAACTTAAAACAAAGGAAAAGGCAATGTGGCTGCTTATATATAAGATCATTAGTCGGAACACAGCTCGGCAGTTTTTAAAGCCAGGATACGAGATGCAATATTTTCAGGCAAAGGCTCCTTATCCTTACTTCCATATTGGCCAAGAAGATTAAGAAGTTCCTGATTTTTATATGCTGTAATGGGTAGCACCATGTGTTTCAAATTGTTTCCATTAAATAATACTCTTGTTTGAAATAGTGAGTATTCCTTATTTAAGTTTGTTTCGAAATCATTAATAACTTTTTTTGTTCTTTGGCTCCTCATAGATATTAAATCTACAAAAAGATTTTTATAAACTCCAAAATATCTTTGGATATAATCTATATTTTGCTGCATCGAACTAGTCTCGTTGATTAACTTTCCCCGCTCTAGATACTCTTCCATATCTGCAATGTCTTTTTTAGTCTCAGCCACATATTGCTCCAAAAAGTTTTTAAAATGTTTAACTGAATTTTCCCACAATTCGTTGCTGCCGTTGACGGTTTTCAAAAAATGGCAAATTAGTTCCTTATCTGCATTCAGGGGATTACTTCTGACCAAAGTCTGATGGGGTTCAAGAAGAGATTATCTTAAATAATGTTTTTAGAACTTGTTATTCTTACCAGTAGTGAAAGAGACAAGATGCAAAGGAAGTACATCTTTTTGGGTTCTGATGTTGATTATAATTGCTGAACTCTTTTTATAGAAATTTTTCCTTCTTTGTTCTTGATTATAGATTATCATTATCAGGTCTGAGTATATCTAGGTTCAATAGGCCACTCGACTGATACTGACTGCAATGGCAAACATCTACAGTGTCCACTAACTTTGTGGAATAATTTAAAACATTTTTCAAGTTCAAAGTTATTAAATTCTGTTAGTTTTTTTTTTTTGCAAAGTTCTTTGCATGTTGACCTTTTTCTTGGGGGGAGAATCATTATGGCGAAAAATAACCGCATTGGCCGCATGCAAACTGAATAAATAATCACCTCGGCGGTCGTCAAAATTCAGGCAAAACAGAGCGTCTCTGAACTTGTGTAGGAAGTTCGACTACCCGGCAGGCCGGCGCATTAAAATGGAGCGTGAAATGAATTTAATATGATACTCCGACTGCCTGCCATTCGCTGATAGCGTCAATAAAATCATAATAAATACAACCGCGTACGTATATAGTGGGCCACTTAATATACATATATATATTATTTAAATATTGTATACGGAAACGTTAAGGCTTCCTTTTCATCTCTTGATGATGTGATGTGAGCAATTTAAGGGTTTAATGGGCCTGCTTTCTTTACCTGCCTGCCACTTACAAATTCCTTAGAAATTTGTTTAGCCAAATGGAGTACCTGTACCAAGTACCAAGAATGTTAAATAAAGCCAAACTATGCCATTACTTTGCCTATGTGTGTATGTGCGTATGTGTTTTGTCTTGTAAAAACACATTTTATTGTTATTCCCACAGAAGAACCTTTGGCTGTAGAACAAATGTGTAAACACCGCAGCTACGACATTTAGGCACAATGATTCTGGTGCTTTTAAGCTTGTATGACAAATTGTTGAGCGTCTTGAGCTTGACATGACGTATTCCCCATGCAAAATCGTGCCCATCTTGACCTACGTGCCTCGGTCGAATACTTCCTAATACTGAGGTCTTTGCCACAAACCATTGAACCACTCTATATTCGGCTTTGAATAGCCGCGCTACGTTGAATTATTGAGTGCTAGTTTTGTGGTTTTACTGCGCAGACATGGTCATGCAGATTTGTTCAAAGTTATCGTTTGGTAAGAGTTTTGCTTTAAAGAATGTGTAGAAAATATGCTTTTTTATATCTAGATATAGATTTATAAACTAACTTTTCAGCAAAGGGTATAGAAAAGTCGAAAGGGGGAACGAAAGAGCTTGCAATATTTTGAAAACTAATTTATTGCATCCAGAATTTATGCAGCTCACGCAAGTTTCACTTTGCGAATTGTGCGCTTTTGTTTTGCGTTTCTCTCTCTCTCTCTTTTTTTGTTTTTTAATAATTATGCAATCAGTTTGGTTGCTTGCCTTCTTGTGCAGTTGCTCCTGCTCTCTGATATTGGTATTGGTATTAGTATTGGTGCAATTAACAACTTTCCGGCATCGAACGCAAATGAAAAACCCTTACAATAAAACAAATTAAATATTTGGCAATCGTTTTGTGTCGATTTTTTTGATTATCGTTCCATTTGCCGCTTGCTCTGATCGGCCTGTGATTTCGTTTGTGCGCCGCTGTTGTTGCCCACAATTTCGATGCCGAGGCTGGTTTAATTTTATGATGAATATATAAACACGTACGCATGTCCCAAGAGTGTTAATCAAAAATTACCAACTTGTTTTCGCAGTGGCAGGCAGCCAAACGAGCCTCTCGAAGAACCAACTGGTGCAAGGCGGTATCAGCTTTTGTTTTATTTTTAGACGGATGTACAGCAGATGCTGATGATGTCACTGGGCACTTGTTGTCCTCACTAATATCCTTAATCCTTTCGTTTATAATTCACTTGCACTGAGTTCACTTTGGTCACCTGTGGATCTCACTCACTTCACGTCTGTCGATCGACTAAAACAAACTCCACTAATTACTGACCTTTTTGTAGTTGTCGCACTCGCATATATTGTGTGCTTTTGTGGCTCATAAATTGTTTAAATATTGAACAATTGGTTGCAAATGGATGTATTCAGATAAAAGTTGAAAAGAAACGGCACACCCCGTGCCGCTCAATCGATAAGATATAGAGTCATAGGAATCCAAAATCGGAATAACCCGGAGGAAGCGAGATTGTGGCAGATGCGTCACGGGTCGGTCAGTGGTCGGGTGTGGCAGTGGGTGGCTGACACAGTTAGCATAACCCTATCCCAAAAGGTTTACTTATGCCTTGCCCGGGGCAAAAACAAAAAAAACCCCGAAAAATACCTTTGAAAATATGTGAGTCCCATCACCTTTTTCACCTGAACTTGCTGCTACCTGAGTTTGTTGCCTAAGTCTTTTGTTAGCCTGTCCTGAAATTATTGCCTTACCCCCAGAAAGGGTACATTAACTTTGTCAAGTACTTGTATAGATCTCCACTTAGACTTTGAACTGTAGAAGTTTTCTACGATTGACAGACAATCTCCCTTGTCTCCTAGGCATTCAGATTATCTATCTCAGGGTATTTATAGAAATTAAAGATAGTGCAAAAGTCCCAACAGAATTCTATATAGCAACTAGCTTGCATCGGAGCTGGTCAGTTCTTTAAAATGTTTAAGAAAACTTGGATGCATCTCGTCTTTGTTTGGCTGGCGTTTTTGGTGAGATATTGCCTAAAAATATAATAAATATTAGTAAAGTTAATGTGTGTTAATCGCAGTTACTGGCTAGAAGCTTGCAACGTTGCAAACCAAGGAGGAAAATATTTGCGAGTTGTTCAGAAATATCAGCAGACTGCAGGATGATGAAGAGGCTTGGTGGGAAAGAAATCGAAATTTGGCCAAATCAATTTTGGAGACAAAAATTTGGTATTCGGATTTAGAACCATCTTGTAAGAAATTTGTGGATTCTCTTCGAGAGTTACAAAGCCGCGGTGATGCCTTGACTTCATCTAGTTCTTGGGCTCAAAAACTGGACTATCTTAATGCATCTTCTGAGGAATATAAAGCCGGACCCTGTGTTGAAAAACCGGGATACTATACATTTATATCATCGAGTATCTTAGATAAGATGAACGAAGATTCCTTGGAATTGAGAGGAAATGTGAATGATAAAAGGGAATACAACAATTTTATTACACAAATTGCTACAAAGGATGGATTCATGGATGCATTATCTGGGATTTCGGTGCACCTACTGGAGTATTTAACACGTTTTCAGAGGTGTAATTTAACAATTTTTTTAAAAGACAATCTTAAACCCTGAAATGAATTTGAACCGAATTGAAGTTAATCAACAAAATAATTATATTTAAGGAAAGGCATTTTATAATTACATGTTAAATTAAGTTGTAACGTGTACTAAGCTCTGGCTGAGATTGGAAAACCTCTGCATAGAGTATTGGCAGTTTATTTATATTACTTAGCCGCTGGCAGACGCAGACTGGCCGTCGTCTCAAGCAGCTTCTTCAGCCTTATTGGCGCGTCGCTCAACTTCCAAAAAGCACGCATTTTATTGAGATTTATTTTGATTCAATTTCGGTCTCTTTTTCTGATTTTCTATAATTTTTTTTTGTTTTTTTTTGCCTGGGGGTTCAATGCCAAACATTTTTGCCGTCTTTTGTTTTCTTATTTTGATTTTCAGACCGCGTTTTTGGCATGCGACCTGCACGAGCCTTTGGCCAGCGTTTAAATTCCCAAATTGATGGCAATCTTTTTTTTTGGGGCAGCTTTATGGTGGCATTGTTTGTGGCTGTCTTGGTGAATACATATTATGCTTGGGTATCCTGCAAATGATTTCATCGTGCTTGACGTGCTCATGTGGGCCTTAATTGTTTTATTTGAGTGCCATTATGTGCAGGCACTTGGGACGGACTTGGAGTTGGGCCTGAAGATCTTTCAGAGGCTTCTTCTTTTGAGTGCTGAAGTGCCCGAAATCTGGTTATGATGTCATGCCCAAAACTAAAACAAAAAATTCTTCCACTTTTTTATGTGTGTGTGTTGTTCGTTTTTTTTTTTTTATTTTTTTTTTTTAAATATTTTTTGTAGGGAAGCAATTTGAATGAATTATGCTGTTCTACTTTTTTCCACCTTTGCGGTTAGACGAACGACCGTATATATTTGTTTTAACACATTTGTCGTAATGCGTCATTGTCATCGCGAGCATTTGTAAATATTAAAACAAAAAAAAACCACCTCAAGCTCAAACTAAAAACTGGAAATTTTCGTCGTTATTTAATATTTTCCAAGCCCCACCCCAAGCTGTGGCTATAGCTAATCTTTGCCTAGCCGTTACAAATGACGACCCTAAAAAAGTGACAACAAAAGCTCGACAATGTCAAGTGCTTCAAACTGACAAAAAAAGAAAATATTTTAAACGTTTTTACTTGGAGAAATAAATCGTATTTATTTCACTATTAATCAAATTTACAAATTTGAGGTCTTATAAAAAGATATTAATCATTTCCACTCTTGGGGGGTTTGGGCAGTTTAAATTTATATTAACTTAAATTATGTTTAAGTTCCCACATTCTAATCTGACTTTATGACTTGTATTATCCCTCAAGGGTAAGCCAATATTGGAATATTACTGGTTCTGCTACAGATTAGACTGAAAGCTAAAGTACAAGACCAAATATTATGACTCAATTCACTTTTAAAACAGGAAACAACTCTTTGATGAATTAATATTATTTCTTTCGAGATCTAGTTTAAGAAAATAATTAAACACAGTTACAAAAATCTTAGCATATTTCCAACGAAACCATAGCTGTTCCTAGGCATACATAAAAACTCCCTATTAATTCCATTCTATCATTACCATATTAGCATTTATATGGAGTGCCATGTAAGTGATTAATAGACTTGACTAGGCAATCAACTAAATACAAATACAAACTGCCTTAAAAGGAACTTTGCTATGCAAATGCAAATGCTTATTCCGGGCGCATCTTTATGGACTTTACACCTGCTCTATGATGTTTATAAGCTTTATAACTTAATTCGAAGACCGCATTTGAAATCTCATTAGTACGGCAAATATTCATAATTCTAAGCCATTGGCCTGCGGTTCGAAATCTGGTTATGCAGCTGCTGGGGCAAAAATTCCAAACTCGCTTTTAAGTATGTGAACAATGCAGTTCTTAAAATAGTCTCAAGTCGGGGTGTGAAAACCTTTCGGCCAGCAAATACTCGCCTCGTTGCCAATCACGTTTCAAGATCGAGGTGAATTCTTTGACGTATTTGCTAGCCAAATGACACGTTTGCCATGTTTTGCCGGCAAATGCTTTCATTTCACATTCATCGGCCAACTTCGCAGAGCTTCTTCTTCTACAAATGCCATGGCATTTGGTGCTGCTAATGTCAAGATTTGCCTTTTTATGACATCCCCCAATGCAATAGAAAAAAACCCGATTGTGGATTAAGCCCGCTTTAAAACGTTAACTGACCTGTTTGTTTCCCTGCTCGCCCTCGCCTCTGGCGGTTCATGTTTATTATGGGTTAATCAAGTGCTTAAGCCATCAAAGCTTAATGATTAAACCAATATCAATTCAAATTGAAGGCGGAAACTATTTGTGGGGATTAAGTTGCTGCAATGCTTTAACGTTTGGGAAAGAAAGGTGTACTAAGATTAATAAAATCTCATCATCCTTTTAAAAATGTCTATAGCATCGCCCTCGTTCAGAATTACAATTACAATATACCAATAGTGGGACTAAAACTGAATCTAAAGCTGTCTCAGTTCAATCATCGGGAGTGTCTCTCTCCCTAACCGATAATCAACATCTCCATGACCAATTCCACCTCCGATTCCAAGTGCGAATCCGTAAACCAGTTTAGAGCGGTTCCGTTTTTAATTGTGTTTGTCCGCTGGACAATTTGCATTCATTACAAACCATAACTTTTTATTAAGCTTTGATTTATGTTTGTTGCTTTTGCGCGGAGAATCAGAACGAGAGTGGGGAGGTAGCCCCACCCACCTAATTACTTCCGAGTTTATATCAAACTCAAACAATTAATTATTAAAATATATTGTTGGGGAATAATATTTAAGGATCTTTCTAATCCTTAAACTAATTTCCTTTCATTTATATTCCAGAACCGAAAACATTGGTTACCGTAGGCCAGCCATCAAGCATCGACGACAGCGAGGCCCTTGACGAGATTAACTTGAATACCAGCAGCGAGGATTCAATAGGCGTAGGAGGATCGAGTCCATATCAAGGAGCAGGCGATCCAAACGCCAATCCATTGCTGGAACCACCTCAGGAAGCTGGTAACGATTCGCTACTGAGTCAGGCGGCCTCCTCCTTTACTGCCCTGCCAGCAGTGGCCTCCAATGTGTTTTCCACCTTCTCGAAGCGAATCTACGCCGGCAGCAGGGAGTCCTCAGAGGAGCCTAAATTAGACATCCAGCCCACATACATTCAGCAGGCTAACTACGTTCAGCCAGTGCCACCGGCACCAGCACCCTTTTACGCAGCTCCTCCAACGGCGGCGAGTGAAGGGGTTGCCCCCGAACCACCCAAGTTCTACGCACCCACGGAAATTCCTGCGCCTAGCGTAGGAGTTCCTGGACCACCGCCTGCAGCAGGGAATCCCAACACTTATCGATTCACTGCTAGAAAGAAGCTATACGCTCCCATTCCTGGATTCTCAGAACAATCCGGACCGGCTGCCCAGATTCAACAGGCACCTCCAGCAGTTCCGTCATTCCAGACACCCCCATATCCGCCACAGCCAGCCCCCGCAGCAAACTCTGCTCCATTTGACATATCAGCTCATCCAGCACCAGCTCCCACAGAAGAACGAAAATCCGGCGGAGGACTCTTCTCTTTGACCAGCCTCGTACCTACGGGAGTTTTGCAAAATATCACAGGACTCGTCCAATCCGCCACTGGCCGAAGCAGTGAGCCAGGCTACAACAATCCTCAGCAACCAGGAGGCTACTTGGACAGTTCGACAGGAGCCCCAGCTCCAGCTCCATCGACAAACTTGTTTGGAGGCTTAAATCCTCCTGTACCGTCGGGAGGTAACTACTTCGTACCTGGTGCGGCTCCGTCTCTACCCCAAACTGAAGTAGTAGCTCCCACTGCAGTGGGAAGTTTCTTTGCGCCACCTGCTGTTTTGCCTGCACCATCATCAGGAAACGTAGCTGAAGGAATATTCAAGCCGACAGCTGCGCCGCCACCTGTAGGAGGATTCTTCAGTCCTGCACCGACACCAATTGTCCCAGCAGTTTCGCCTTCAGTTTTTAATCCAGAAGCAGTTCCACCTGGTGCCCCTCAGTCTGTTCCAACAGTCAGCACTTCAGCGGTACCACCAGCAAATCTACCGCCAGCATCAACAGCAGGAGGATTCTTTAGTCCTGCGCCGACACCAATTGCCCCAGGAGTGCCGCCATCGATTTTTACTCCAGCAGCAGTTCCACCTGTTGTCCCACAAGTTGTTCCACCAGAAAATCTTCCTCCCACACCAGCTATCGGAGGATTCTTTACTTCAGAAACGACAACAAGTGTCCCAGAAGGTCCACCCTTACTTCCTTCTATTTTCACTTCCAGGATCAGTTCCCTCTGCTGTTCCATCAGTAGTACCACCAGCAGTAGGAGGTTTCTTTAGTCCTGCACCGACACCAATTGCCCCAGGAGCGCCGCCATCGATTTTTACTCCAGCTGCAGTTCCACCTGTTGTCCCACAATCGGTTCCATCAGTACCAACAGAAAATCAACCACCCACATCAGCTGTCGGAGGATACTTTACTTCTGCAGCGACAGCAAGTGTCCCGGAAGTTCCATCCGCAGTTCCCTCTGTTTTCACTCCAGGAGCACCTCCACCTGCTGTCCCACAGGTTTTACCAACAGTAACTTCAAACATCACCAACAGTACTACCATCAAATCTACCACCAACATCCGCGGTAGGAGGGTTATTCACTCCAGGAACAGTGACTCCTGCGTCAACTGATTCCCCATTGGCTCCAAACTTACCTGGTAACCCTGCAGCTTTGCCTCCTTCAAATCTGCCTCCAACATCAGGTATTGGAGTGTTCTTTAATCCAGGAGTAGTTCAACCTGATGCCACAACAGCGCAAACGCCTTTCAGCTTACCTGTAACCACACCAGCAGTACCACCAGCAGGATTCTTTCCCCCAGCAACTCTGCCAACAGTCCAGACAGCTTCTAATCCTAATCCCCTGCCAGGAGCCCCGCCTGTGGCAGCTGTTCCACCGCCAGCTGCTGGTCAGTCATCATATCGCCTTCAAAAGGGGACTCGTCTCTACAAAAGCCCTTTGACGGCACAAGAGACAGCAGTGTCTTCTGGATTTGCTGCGCCTTTGCCTCCCACATCTGCACCGGCGGCAATTTTCAACCCATTCGGAGCACCAGCTTCAGGATCGTTCAATCCAGTAGCCCAGCTAGAGCCTCAAAGTAACCAAGGAGTTCCATTCTTTACACCACCAGTGGGCAATTCGTCAGGACAAATATCTCAACTAAATCAAGGATATTCTGCTCCGCCTTTGGAAGCCCTGGTGCAAGGAGCTCCATTAAAACAAGATAATCCCTTGTTCGGGCCAACATCATCGGACAGTCCCTTCTTTGTTCCACAAGCGACCAAAGAGGCTCCAAGTGGGCCTTCAGGAAGTGAGCAACTAGTCGAAAATCAAACGCCAAACCAAGGCATACAATTCTTTGCACCACCACCTTCGGCGCCAGCGGGAATAAATCTTTTTACAACCCCAATCTAATCAGGAGCCAATACAAGCAAAAGAGGAACCCAAGCAGTCCAATATTCAAGAAGAATCGATAACTACGCCCATCGAAGCCGCATTATTTGCGCCTCCTGTTATCGAACCTGTTTTGGAAGAAAAACCACCAACCAGCTCGGAAGTAAGTGCTGCCCAAGTTGTGTCCACAAGTGAAGTAGATCAAGGAGAAAATATTTATTCGGCTCCATCAGCGCCAGTGGAGCAAGAGGTTCCATTATTCGTGCCAGTGCCAGCTTTATCGGGACAAAGTCCGGGCATACCATTGTATCCGCCACCACCAACAGCTGCACCACCAGCGACTTCAACTGCTGCACAGTTTGTTGCTGAACCAGCACCTTCTTCAGTTTCATCGTTCTTTTCCCCTGCTGGAGAGGATTCTGCTGCATCCTTATTTGCTCCGCCTACAACATCTACATTATTTGCCCCCATACCAACAACCCAATCTCCACCAGATCTGATTCCGGCTACATCGGATCAGCTTGCAGTAGAAGCTCCGCCAGCTTTCTTGGGAACACCTGAGACCACCTCGACCAACTTGTTCCAGAGCACCAACGACACCCAAACTGTTTTTAGTCCGTTTTCACAGACTAAGGCTACACCTTTGATTCAGGAAACTGGAACAGAATTAGTTCCACCTCCAATAGGATTTTTCGCCAAGCAGGTCGAAACCGAGGCACCAAGCCAACCACCACTTGCTCCCTCGCCCCTGCAAAGCTTCTTTAACCCGGCTGCTTCTTCGGATTTCAATTTCTTTGCAAATCCCGCACCCGGGAGCGTGTTTCCCGAGCTACCAATCCAGCAGGGAATTGCTCCGCCACCATTGGCATTGGAGCCACCTTCGGAGGCTGCTACTGAAAAAGTATTGCTTCAGCTCCATTGGGTTTCGAGTTGCTAAGCCAATCCCAGCAAGCGCAAGAACAAACACAAAGTTCAATCGAAAATTCGTATCCAAATTCAAGTGTCAACTCTTTCACCGGCTATTTTGGTGGCCCCGCTGCTCCTCCGCTACCTTCCGTCGCCCTCTGAACCGACCGAAGCACCTGTTGCTCCAGTTATAAACTGTGATCCGGTCAACTTCTTTGATCAGGTTCCGGAGTCTCAGTCCCAAATCCAGCAAGCTAACGAAGATCAGCGTATCCAAAACTTCTTTAACAATCCACCATTGCAAGACCAACCCGCTGCACCAGGTGAACTCAAGTACGACATCGTGCACAGCGGAGTGGCTGTAAAGCAACTGCAGGAGCGTTCACAGACGCCCGTCTCCAATCTCGTTGAACCGCCTTCGTCTGCCTGTTCCGAGTTCTCTACTCTTGCACCAGCCCCAACGCCATCCCAATCAGGAGAAGATCTATTGCAGCAGCATCTGGGTGAATTGCCTGAAGAAGTCCTCAGAGAACTCAGAATGGCGAGTGCCAGCAACGACAAGGGTCAGGTGGCAACACCTCCCGTAGCTATAGTATGTTAAAAAAATTAATTAATATGTTCGCCAGTTTCTTTATATTTTTTTCAAATATTTTGTAGACCTACTCACCAGTGGTGGCCCATTGGTTCTATAAGCGCAGTGTTGACACGAAGTTCATCTGGACACCATTCAGTCACTATGATTCGGCACTTTTGGAAACGAGTCTACAGCTTGGTAAGCAAATAATATCTATTCTTTAGAAAGGAAATCATCTATTAAGAAAATTGAAATTTCAGACGACTCCACTTTGATAATTCCGGTTGAGGGTGGCCGCTACGATGTCAACATCAAGGAACGCACCAAAACTCCTGTTTACTGGGAGGGAAAGGCCATCGAGGTACGGCGTTGCTCTTGGTTCTACAAGGGAGTTGACTCAAAGTACGTTCCTTACACCGAGGATACGGCAGCGTTGCTTGAAGCGGAATACAAGCGATCTGCGGAGACTGGCGAGTGGCATCAAAAGATCATGCTGGCCAACGGTGAACAGGTGGTCTTTCACGGACCCACTGTCATCGTGCACTTCTTGCCTCAACAGAATGGCGACACATGGGGAGCCAGCACGCAGGGCTCTATGCGCCCAAGAGTTGTCAAAAGGGACCTGGATGACTTCACGATCGAACAGGGTGAATCACAGCGAGTGGATCATCTGCTTTTCATGGTACATGGCATCGGATCAGCCTGCGATTTGAAAATGCGTTCTGTCGAGGAAGTTGGTTAGTTATATGAATGAAACAAAGGTTTGGCAAATAATCATTTGTAATTTATTTACAGTGGATGACTTCCGGGTTATTGCTCAGCAATTGGTTCAGTCGCACTACAAAAACTCCACGGACATGGGCCTAGTAGGTCGCGTTGAAGTCTTGCCCATCTCCTGGCATGGTCACCTGCACTCCGAAGAGCTGGGCATCGATGAAAAGCTGAAGTCCATTACTTTGGAGTCTATTCCACGCCTGCGAAACTTTACCAATGACACGCTATTAGACGTGCTTTTCTACACAAGTCCGAAGTACTGCCAGAAGATAATGAACACGGTGGCCGACGCACTTAACGACGTCTACCTGAAGTACCGAATGCGACATCCTGAATTTAATGGGGGAGTCTCGTTGGCAGGACACAGTCTTGGCTCTCTAATCTTGTTCGATCTTCTCTGTCATCAGGAACCGCTCAAGGAAAGCGAGGAGGAGAATAAAGTGAGTTAAAACTTGATCCTTAATAATATGTGTGTTCTTAACAGTAAAACATTTATCCATTAAGGAGAATCCCGACCAACTGCCCCAAAAGCAAGCCCCTCAGAAGGTTCAGCTTCCGACCAGCGACCTTCTGCCCAAGCAAGTAAGCTATGCGATGGGACCGGAGGGTACAGGACAGCCCGTAATAACATATACGCAGCTCATTTTCCACCCGAAGAAGTTCTTCGCTTTGGGTTCGCCAATCGGAATGTTTGTTACCATCCGGGGAATCGATAAGCTTGGCCTCGACTTCCATTTGCCCACGTGTTCGGGCTTCTACAACATATTTCATCCATTCGATCCGGTAGCCTATCGCATCGAGGCGCTCGTAAATCCGGACATGAATGGCATTCGACCTGTGCTAATTCCTCACCACAAAGGACGCAAACGGATGCACTTGGAGTTAAAGGAGACGATGACACGAGTGGGTGCGGATATCAAGCAGCGATTTATGGATACATTCAAGACCACGCTGGACAGTGTAAACTTCTTGGCCACGGTGACGAAGGTAAAGAAGGAAGCCGAGGAATCCCTGGAAAAGGAGACAAGTCAGACATCTTCGCAAGCTTTACAAAAGCAAAGTGAAGATCAAGACGAGAGCTCTGTGGCCAGTTCATCCTGCAAACTACGAAATCGAACCGATTCCAATTCGACCACGGCATCCGATCCGGAGTTTGTAGAACTCGATTTCCCACTGGGAAAGCTAAACGACTCAAAGAGGGTGGACTACGTGCTTCAGGAAGCACCTCTGGAGTTCATAAACGAATATATTTTCGCCCTTAGCAGCCATGTGTGCTACTGGTGAGTTATTCCCTTCATCTACTAACGTTAATTTATATTTACGACGAAATCATGGTTTATATAAAATAGGGGCTCTGAAGATACGATTCTGTTCGTGATGAAAGAGATCTATGCCAGCCTGGGAATCAGCACCGACAGCCAAGTGCCGCAGTCATCAATGACCATCGAACGACCCGTCTCCCACGAAAGCAGTGTCAGTCAGTCACTGCTGCCGATGTGAGTGCACCAAACCCCACAGGCTCTTCGTTGGATCTCCGGATCCCACGAACTACATGCAACACCATAACTATATACATTTAGTACCAATTTATTTAGATATGTTATTTGTTAGCCAAATCATACAAAGAATTTTCCATATGTGCAACTCTAACATGGTTAATGGTATTATCAAAGTAAGACGTCTTTATCGTGTGAGTGACTAATCCCTAGCAAGTTCTCGAGCTCTACTAAATGACCTATGTATTCATCGGATTTGCACCGAGGAGTGCTGTTTGTTATTTTTGTAATATCACCTGTGTAATTGACTTTGTAACAATTATGCTAAACAAAAGTGTATGTCTAAAACTTTTAAAATAAATAACCATTGTTTTCAAATTTTGCGGGTTTTTAGTATCGAAACCACTGTGATACTTATCGAATATCCGATTACTGCTTTTATCGCCAGCGGTATTTTTTTGGCTGGGCCGCGGTATTTTTCAGAACTAGCAGCAAATGTGAAACGCTGAACATCGGAACACTAAGTTTAAAAATGTTTGGAAGATAATAGGTATATTTAAACTAAATTTTACTTAATAGCTTAAATTAATAAATGCAGTAAATTCAAAATACTTGACTAAAAGTGTTGATCAATAACTATTTGAAAAATGGCTCACATATAATAGAAGGGGAAATATACTGATGATAGCTTTTAAACATTTTTAGGTGATATGCAAAGTGTAAGATTTTATAATATTAAAGACATTTTCGGAAGTAAACTGAAATAGAAAAAAAACTCCTATTTCTACAAAAATATTTAAGATAAATGTGAATAATAAGGGAATACATTATTCATGAAGACAGTACCTAGTTTATGTTTAAACTCACCTTACCAGATCCATTAAATAGATTAATCAACTCTCTAAAGCCGTTAACGTGGGATTACTCATGATTGACCAATGATAAGAAATAAAGGGCTGTATCATTCCTATAACCACAAATTTTGTTTCCTACAGAAGGCTATTTTGAATAGTTTATGATTTCAAAAGACAGCATATCCCAGAAATTAGAGAAAAATAAGTGTTTTGATTCTCTTGATATACATTAATGTATTTAGTGTTAAGATATAACCACAGTTATCGCTCAGTAATTATCATTTAAATAATGGCATTCAGAATGCTAAAATTAAACTACAAATTTTTTAAAATGTACTCGAACCGCTGTTGAACCGCATGCATATAGGCAGATGCAGGGATCGACAACGACATTTGTGATATTTCTAGGACTTAGAGACTATGCTAATTTTATAATCCTATAAGCTGCCTTTGCTATTCATTCTCTACTCGTACCATATTACATTTATATTTGCTCTTCTTCGTTAAAGACCACACTGTGTTCCTTAGACAGGAAATCTAAACTCTAAACTTAAAATACTATTTACACTTGGTGGTCTGGTCCAGCAGCTTCTTCCACAGATCAAATTGTTCGTTCGACTTGATCATGTGCACGCTGATCGCATTGCGTATATTGCACGGGTTGAACGAGATGCGTCGATTGACGAACTCGTTCGCCTGTAACCGCTTGATATTCAGGCTCTTAGCAACTATTCCCGTGGTGAACACGTCCTCCAGCTTCAGATACACGGTCTTCAGTGATCTTACATAAAGTTCGTGTACAATGTCTCCGGTGAGAACGTAGGCAGGTCCAGTTGTAAAGGAAGGAAACACGCCCGCCGCGAACTGGTCCACAGATACATAGTATTTGGACTTCTTGTTGCGGATAGGTTTCCATTTCTTAGCCAGGCGGCCATATATAGTTCGCTTGTCTTTATGCTTGTCAAGGAAGGTCAGCAGCTTAGGCACATTGATGAACATGTCGTCGTCCGTTTTAAGGATGTACTTCGCCTTCGGGCAATGCAGATCCGCCCACTCCAGCGTCGAGATTGTCTTAAGGGTGAGGTTGTTGTACGAGTCTATAAAGTTTCCCCTTATCAGATCCCCGTATATAAAGTTTTCCTGGGTAAGTGCCTTGTTTAAGGTTTCATTAGTTCCACGTCCCAAGACGAAAGCCATTCCTACGTCCCTTCTGCTTCCATAATGCATCCAAGTCTGCCGGATGGACATTCGGGCCGCATCATGAGACATCGCAGAGCTAATGAGAACCAAAAGCTTAATAAACTCTCCGTTTCTCGGACATATGCGCTCGGCGTCGATTTCCTCGTCCAAGTGACCTGGCTCGTAAAGTTTCTCGGTGGCAACTCCCTTCGAGGGATCCACTGGAACAAGAGGCACCTTGGCCACACTCTTGCCCTTTGTCGTTTTTCACACTGGCCACAGGTGGTCTGGCGGATTTAGGAGGCAAAACTGCAGAATCCTTTGCATCTTTAATTTCCTGTATCACCTTGGAGACCTCCTGCTTTTCGGAGTCAACTTTCAAACCTTCCAGTTTGCCGTCGATTGAATTGAATTGTGCCACGTCCGGTTGATTGCCTTTATCTAAAACGAGAAAACCAGACCATTAGCACTTCCTATATCATGTTAACGTAATAGAAATATGAATAAAGACTTCAGTCAATTCTAACTCGCCCCATAAACATCTGTTCGACAGTAATCCAATAGTCTAAAATAATAAGTGATTGTTTACAACGCTTCCATAATGAAACACGACACCTGGCTATATAAGGGGAAGGCACATATCATTCGCCATTGCCATGGAGCATTACAAATGGGTGCGCCAACAACGAGTCTTTGTCTATACAAATGTTTACTTTTGGAGAGGTTTTATATAAGTATTTATGGCAATTCAGGGATCATTAGGGCGAATATTTCAAAGGAATTACATGAGAAACGATATAAGCAGAGTTAAAGATTAACTTGAAATGTTATCGATGTTTTCAAAACACGTCTTTGTCAAAGATAAATCTAACTAGAAAATAATTACCTGTGTTTGGGTCAGTTCCGGTTGCCTGGACAGCCGCTCCATTTCCCGTGCTACTGTTAGAGGTGATGTTTTTCAGTATCTTATCAGCATTCTCGATAAACTTTTGCAAATTGGAAGTAGGTATGAGGAGTTCCGCATCGGAAAGGCCTGGCTGCGACTGCGGTTGTTGCTGTTGTGTTATCTGAGCGGGAATCGTTTGTTTTACAACCAACGTGTCTGCAGAACTGTTGTTGTTGGTGCTGCTGTTGATATTGCCTGCGGAAGATCCGAGTCATTAGCTTAATTAGCACTAGAATGTTAGCTTACCAACTCCCACACCCACCTGTGATGCCATCAACGCTCTGGCCATACTGTTGCTCCTCTAGCAGTTCTTCCGCCATGACATTGGGCGTCCTCAGCACCACCAACCTGCGGACTGGCGCCGGCAGAGCCACCATCAAGCAGTGCATCCTCATCGATTGTAGGCAGCCGGTGCTGTGGATGCTTCTTGTGAGTCTCCACTGTTTGTGACTGTCTGCTAGAAATCTTTGCCGTACTTTCGCCACCAGCGGGCGGGCTGTACTCCTTGTCCGTATTATTGACTATCAGAACTTGATCCATGGGCTGGCGGCCCGGATGACCACCTATCAGCTGTTGCGGTGGTGAAGCCGCAGAGCGCACATGATTTGTTGTTAAGGTGGCCGTCGTTGAATACGAGGCGTAGATGAAAATGGTGAGGATCACTACGATTAATACTAAAAGGAAACGCAGCATGCGTGTGTTATGCAGACTTCCAATGGCCGCCATGATGGCCCTTTCAAAATCTCGCAAATCTCAATCAGTCTAGGTCTCAGTTTCAGTTTGGACTCCGCTCCTCTTATTCGTTTTCGTTTCTAGTTTTTCGTTTGCTGGATATCGTTCTCGTCTTCAACTTGTGAGTATTATGATAACGATGCCCTGGACACGTGCAAGCCTGGCGACGATTGCGACGTAACTGGAATGAGAACACCACGGAAATGTAAGTAAGTAACTGATTCAGCTGATTTGTTAAGTGCTTTTATACCCGGCACTAGGCGAATAGAATGATACACCTTTAGATCTATATTGAGAGAGGGCAAAGCTCCCAGTTATTGAAAAACTTGCCTGGCTGTCGACAAATAAAATTTAGATTAAAACATAAAATTGTTTTGTTTTCCTTTCGGAAAATTTAAAAGGTATTTCCCAGTCGAGTAAAAACCTAAAACCCTGTTTTGTTGTTTTCGTTACCATTGCTGAGCAAAAAAATGCAAATATTTTGATAGAGAGTGAGTGGGGTGGAGTTACCTACGCAGCAAGATAAGGTTTTTGTATACGTTCCGAATTGTTTTAAAAGCAAACTAACATTGCAATTACGATAGGACTTATGGTGAAGTTTTTGTTTTATCATTTTGCATTCTATTTGCAAAACTCCAGACAAAGCATTAATGAACAGTATAAAAAAGTTGTTTTTATTTGAACAAGGAGCTATTTGGAGTACGTAAAACGCCATGTTTTTAAAAGTAATTTTATAAAACAAACTCATTTTTCGTAATTTGCTAGCAATAAGGTTTTTGAAAATAGTAGAGCTCAAGTGCTGAATGAATGAGCTATTCTATTTTGGGAAATCCAAGGCAAATGTTTAACTGATTTATATGGTAATGGGAGTGACGAACGGGTGGTTACTTGGGAAGTTTCCGTGAGCTAATGAATTCCCAGAACGACGAGAGCACGCACAGCATCCAGAATCGTCACGACATCGCTCAGGGCTCTGTGCCCACTTTGCATGCGGCTCGAACAAGTCAACAGCAGACTTGACCCGATTCGGTGGAGTCTGAAGAGAAACCCAACGAAGGCAGAACAGAAAACCTAACATCAGGCAGACTCTTGACCAGAAGCTCTGGAGCCACTTGAGTCGTCTTACCTTGCCTTAGCTGACTATGCGATAAGATTTCTTATCGGTCGAGCCCATGCAGCCGTTTCAGGGCTTTCTTGAAATCCCAATAGTCCCTGTGTATATATAGATTTAATAGGGGCTTTACGGTTCTGCCATAAAAATAGAACCAGTAGGTTGTGACAGGTTGTGATATGGAAATCAATAAAACGCCGGGACAGGTACTTGTAACTCTTCTAGCAACATTCGATTTGGCCACGAACAATCTTGAATAGTCAATGAAAATTCCCAATGCGTCACTGCTAGCAAGTGGGCCATCTTAATTGATTGTCGATAAGGTAGTTATTATGAAAATATTTCCCCTTATCTGATCTAATGTATAAAGGTATTTTGTACATTCGATATCCTAATATTTGTATAAGAAATCTGAATTTTGTCTTATAATTAAAAAGCGTTTTCGTTTCAAGCAATTAACAGACTTTCGAAACCTATCTAATCGCCGTCGCTTTACGTCGCAAATCGACGAGGAAAAACCCAATCAATTTAAAATTGTGTACGGGTTGTTGGAGTTCAATAAAAAACACATTGTTTAAAAAAAAAATAATTTTGAAATAAGAAACCAAATCACATGCAACACAAAAATCGCTTTCATTGCAAAACAGAACCCCTTTACTAATACTTTGTTTGCAAAACTTCAAGCTGATAAGACAAAAACTAAATTCTGCGTATTTCCACTTATCGTTTAATTATAAACACTACAAATTTACTGGCCCATAAATGATAAACAATTTATTATATATATTTTTGAACAGATAATGGTATACTGATAGCATAACAAAAAGATTTAATTAATGCAGTTTTGCCTAATATTTAGCCAACTAATGAATGGCAATTAGCCAAATTCGATGATAAACTTCAATCGCATTCAGAAGCGAGTCTTTATCAACGTGCTCTGGTTTGGTCAAATATCTACTCTTCTGGTAACCGGAAAGAATCACACCGAGTACGGACACAATGGAATTTTTTGGGGACTGAATCCGACATGGTCGTATCGTGTTTGCGGGCTTATCGTAAAGCTAAACGGACGCACACATAGGAAGAGCTAATAAGCATATTGCTATTTCTATTTAGAACCGCAGCGTGACGTGCAGCGTATTGATAAGAGATTACACCCTTTGTTTTTCCATCAAGAGCGAAAGTGTGGCTTATCTTTGGGTTGAGATGAATCACTGGCACTGCATTGGTAAATTGCACTTAATAAACCGTGAAGTATATGGGAATTTTTTTAATTATCGCCGCCAGTTTCTTATCGGACTTCCACTTCCCTTTGTACAAGTTTGTATTCTATATGAAGAACTTTCCTAGGTCCGACTTGAGCAACAATAAAATCTGTTGTTTTATCAACACAAAAAACGTATATGGAATTCCAAATATTCAATTTTGTTTTTGGGCTTTAATTTCTATTGCACAAAACACATTTGGTTTTCTTTAACTACTTTTGTAAAAAGTATAACGACTACCACATTGTTAAAGTTTCCTATAACTCAAAATGCATATAATTGTTCAATTTAGATAATTTCGTCTGAAATCGTTCTACATGTTTCAGCAGTCGGCTGTATTTAGTGCCTTGTAATTGTGTGCGAAATTGCCAAAGAGCCGTGAAATTTGACAAGAGCGCGTAATTTGATGGAGTGTAACTTGAATTCAGCAGAAAAAGTCGAAGGTTTTGGAGAGAGGGGAGTGGCGAACGGAAGTGGGGTCCAAACTTCCAATCCGGCTGACGGTCGGTTGTATTTTTTCGTGGCCCCTCTCCGACTCTGCTAATAAGTACAATGAACCGCAGATAATCGCCGGTTTGGCGGCAAACGGGTTTTCGGGCGTCTTGAAACTATCTTCACCTCAAACTGCCCCCCTATCAATCAGAGCTTTGGCCAGGAAGATTCAACTGGACGCCGTATCGTGTTGATGAAAGTCTTTGAAAAGTTTATGTCAATCCTAAATCTAAAATTAAGAACGGGTATTTTGTTTTCAAAGCTGCACTTCCACCGGTTTTGTATTAACGATCTTGTTTTATTAGCCAATAACTGTGTCCTAGAAATTTTTAATTATTTGCCAGAAGACGTTCAAAAAATTAATGCAGATAGATATGAATCTTGTATTAGCATATATAAGCAATTTGAAAGAAAGAGGTAAACAAAATTTATCACCTGACTTATATCTTCTTTCTTCTATCTTTTAAAAGCACTTTAAATGCAAATTTAAATTAAAGTAAGTTTCCTAAAATAATTATATTTGATATGCAGTATTTTCTAAAACTGCGTTCACTTCTAAGATAAAAGCATTCTTAATAACAAAAAAGCTTTTAACTTTGTTTTACATGGGTTTTTCCAGACAATCTTTCATTATCAAAGTTTTGAAACTTTGAAAAGGCACTTTTGGGACCTAGATATACTGTAATAATTAATATATTCTTTATTTCAAGGCAGTAAGTTACTGATAAGAAAAAAATGTTCATTAATTATGTGATAAATCCATTGATGACCGAATACATTAAATATTTTATGAAATTGATAGTGAATAATCACCCAACTCTGAGTTTTTGGAGCGTATGTGACCGACAGAAGATTTTTACATGAAGTGCATTTAGTGAGCAATGGTTGTGATCCCAGGAAGATCAATATGGAGGTTGAATGGCGTTAATGAAACCTCCACTTCAGCTAACTGGTGGTGCAATGTCCGGCCGTGGAATTTGGAAATATGCGCTCTTCGGTTGCTTAAGCAAACATAAATGTGTGTTAATAAAATAACAAAACCCTAGGCAACGCATCGTCATCGTTGCGTCGCCGAGTCTTCATCGCCACCATCGCCCCTCCCTCGAATCTTCCAATCTTTGGGCAGACTTATTATAACTCACCTCCCAGCGTGGTTTAGCTGCGTCTCTGTTCCTCTTGCGCTGGAATCGGAGATGGGGCTATTGTTGGACCAGGGTCAAGCATAATTACTTGCTTGCCTGCTTATTTTTAATGTTTATTTAACGTTAAAAAAGTGCCTTTTGTTGACAATTAATAATGATGAATTGCTGTTGGCGTTGTAGTTATCCTAGTGGCTGTTGTTGCTTTATTAGTTGTTGTTTTTTTTGGAACCCTAGGCGCCACCACAAAGTTTGCTGATGTGCGTTAGTGTGCCTTGGGTAGTTTTTGTTCAGGCTTTTAGTTTGTCTGAGTATTTCGGCTTTAATCGTTTTTAATAACGCCAACCCGTTTCATTAGTCATGCGAAGCATGTTTTATAAATAAATAAGCATTAACACCTTGGCAAACCAAGAAATTTGTTGTTGGTGCGGAGCACAGACTCTGATTTAATTTCGCGTTTGTCCTCGATTATTTCGGGGTTTTCAATTGCAGTTTGCAGACATAGCGCAGTTTTATGACACTTTTGAGGCTTTGCACAATTCTCTTAGTTACAGCGACCGAACGTATTCCAATTTTTTTCTCCGTTTTTGTGGGCCCATTACTCCCACTTCCAAACGGATTTTGCGATTAGCTCAAATGCCAGTGTGGCCGGATAGTGACCAGTGTGGAAATGCCATTTGTTCATCTGGTCACACGAAAAGGCAAGTTTACTTATCGATTGATTCATTTAAGCATTAAGCAGATAAGTAAACTTTATATATTTATTTTCCTCACGGTACCGAATAAATTTGTTTAAAATATGTCTAGTATATTTATATTTCTTTATTATTTATTCTGTTGCCACCTTAATTTTTTAACAGCGCTGCAAATGTATATCTAATTCTAACGTTTCCAACACTAAACACCAGAAGCTTTTTAATTTGTACAATTTCAAATACTTTTAAAAAATTAATGAATTTTTCTAATATTGTTTTTATTTTTTTATAGGAATCAGAAACTGTAGTATTATTACGATTATTTTAAATATTTCTGTGTATCGGGGCATTAGGCAAATGATGCGATATGTTTGTTTGTATTCACTTTAAATTGGCCATTTCTTTAAATTAATTAAATTAATTAAAAAGCGGCTTACAAAATGTTCTCGCATTAATCTGTTTGAATTTAATGCAGATTGAATGTTTAGAAGGAAAAAAGGAAAAACCAGGGTCGTTACAGAAAATCATCAATTGTCTGTTAACATTTGGTTACCATCTGGTAACACTTAACAAAATTAATTAATATATGAAAAATAATACATAAATAACATAATAAATTAAACATATAATTAAAAGTCAGAAATATTGTTTTTAGGTTGTAAGAAATTCTATTAATCGAAATCTGTAAAAAAAATTTTGCGGCATTCACTGGTGTTTTTTAACCGCAATAAAACAAGTGGAAGTTTCGTTGATAAGAGCAAAGTTCATTCTAATTGCTAGAAATAACTTTATTAGTTAACAGAAAAAATAAAATTATCTTCCTTAAGCTTTTAATATTCCTTCTTAGTTTTAGTAAGTACTTAAGCTTTGCTCTATAGATTCCGCAGAGTAATCGTTATACGCACTTTATCATCCACTTAGATATAGTAAACAAAGAAATGGCTCTGATTCCGGCTGTGACCCGACTCACTTCCTCTGTCATAAGGATCCTGGGCTGCAATCCCAGTCCCATGACGCTTCAAGGTACAAACACCTACCTTTTGGGGAGCGGAAAGAGGAGAATACTGATCGACACCGGCGATGAGGACGTGCCTCAGTACATTGCGCACCTAGGAGACGTACTGCAGGAGGAAAAGGCCTCCATAGACACCATCCTGCTGACTCACTGGCACCACGATCATGTCGGCGGCGTCAAGAGCATTCTTGGCACCAAATTGGCCGACAAGGATTGCCGGGTATTCAAGTTCGGTCGCACAGATGCTAAAGACGAGTGTCCCGAGATCCCGTCGCATATCAAACTCCATCCACTTGTCCACAACCAGGAGTTTTCTACTGAAGGAGCAAATGTCAAGGTGGTACACACGCCTGGCCACACTACTGACCATGTGGTTCTAGCAATGAACGAAGGAACGCTTTTCAGCGGAGATTGCATCTTGGGAGAAGGTACCGCTGTCTTCGAGGACCTGTTTGAGTACATGAAGAGTCTGGATAAGATATTGGACATCAAGCCACAGCGCATCTTTCCGGGTCACGGCAATGTTATTGAGGAACCGATTGGGAAGATTGAGTACTACATAGCTCATCGCAATCAGCGCGAACAGCAAATCCTGCAGTTCTTCGTCCAGCGACCCAGCGAACGCTGGCAGGCGATGGATGTAGTCAAGGTGGTCTATAAGGAGACTCCGGAAAATCTCTGGCCTGCCGCCGCCTACAATGTGAACCACCACCTCAGCAAGCTGGAGAAGGAGGGAAAACTGCGGCTTATCAAGTCCGAGGATGAAGATTTCTATGTCTTCCAGCCAACAAGTGCGCTCTAGGTTGATTTGCTTGCTTACAGTTTCATGTCCCTAACAATGTAAATAACTAATTCTTGTTTGTTAACAATCGTTTATAAAAAAGATATACTCAGATATTTTATATTAATTAACATTCTATGGTGCAAGAAGAATCCATCGTGCCATAGTTGCATAGTTGTGGTATGACCATCGGATAGCTACCTTTCTTAGTTCAATCAATTAATATGTAAATATTGTAAATATACAGATACATTTTATTTCTAACCTGAAATCACTGCTTATAAGACGGCTGTTATCCGATGCACTTAATAGTATGGTCCAGTAATTTTTTCCATAGGTCAAACTGTTCATTGCTTCTAACCATGTGAATGGTAATCCTGTTGCGAATGTGACAAGCCTCGAACTTTGTGCGGGTGTTGGCGATCTCGCGAACATTAATCCGCGGAATGTTCAGACTTTCTGCAACGATCCCTGTGGTGAAGACGTCCTCCAGCTTTATAAAGGGTGTATTTAGCGATCGAATATACAGAGCGTGTACAATATCACCGGTGAGCAAGTAGGCGGGTCCAGTGGTGAAGTAGGGAAAGGTGGCCCTTCCATACTGAGAAACGGGTATGTGATATTTTGACCACTTATTTCGAATGGGTTTCCAATGCTCAGCCCGGCGTCCATAAATTGTGCGATTGGCTTTTAGCGTGTTTATAAAGGTTATTAGCTTGGGCACATTAATGAACATGTCATCGTCCGTCTTCAAGACGTAATTGGCCTTTGGACAATGAAGATCCGCCCACTCCAGCAAAGAAATGGTCTTCAGAGTGAGATTATTGTAAGAGTCTATAAAGTGACCCCTTATCATATCTCGGTACATAAAATCCTCCAAGTCGATGGCCTTGTTAGCCACCCTGTTGGTGCTTTGCCCCAAGACGAATGCTATTCCCACGTCTCTCCTGCTTCCGTAGTGCATCCAAGTTTGGCGAATGGACATCCTGGCTGCCTCATTACGTGGTGCTGAGGTGATTAAAACCAACAACTTTGTGAATAATCCTCCCCGAGAACATATTCTTTCCACGTCAATCTCATTGTTGAGGTGACCGGGCTGGTAGATAGTTCTTACTATAGGCATTCGGACGGGAACATCGGTTTCTATTGATAACAACCCCATTGATTTTTTCGCCAAAATACTTTTGGAATCTGTTAACCTTTTTGTAAAACCATTCTGCCCTTTATTGCTATCTGTAAGAAACAACCAAATTTAAAAAGATTTTAATATTTAAGTGCTCTTCTAAGAAAACTTATTTTAAAAAAATTGAAATTTATTTTAATGAAAAAAGAATGAAATTCTTACTCTGCTTCGTATTCTTGTCGACTCTCCTGCTTCTGATTAGGGAAATTAAATCTTTGGCTTTGACATTTAGATTATTAGAAATGGTCATATCATTGCTGCTGTCACTGCTGTTTCCTGAAATTTAGGTTTATGAGATAATATTCAGTTTAAACGACGAACACACCGTTAGAGTTTTCGAAAGTTTCCTTCCTGAGAATCACTTCTGGCGCTGCAGAATTATGCAGCCCTATATGACTCATAATTAAATCGCCTGAATTGGGCTCAGAAATCTTAAGGTAGTTATCTTTTATCATCGCCCTTGATTTGGAAAAATACGAGAAGACTGTCAAGCTAACAAGAATTAGAAAGAAGATGCAGTGCAGCAGTCGGCTCGCCATGGCTATACGTTTGGTCTAATTTCCCAGGAATATGTCCACTCTGCAAAGATAAATTTACAAAAGCCCCAGAAAATCATATTAAATATATTTAAAAAAAATTTAGCAAAACAAGTAATGCACACTTGACAACTTACTTTTAAGTTTCAGCATTTTTAATGACACTTTAAATCCTTTCGGCATCTTATAATTTTATACTCAGCATTATTGAATTCATGAACCCTATGGGTTTTTTGCAGGTCCTGGCTTAAAATTATCTTAATTTTCTCTTTTCCTTCGACCCACATATTTTCACTGCAACTCCTGATGTATTAACGGTGTTTTTGTTCACAACAGTTCTACCAATGTTAGTTAACATGGTTTCAACGGTTACCAACACTGCTCTGTGTACGTCAGCTAGAGATGAAACGACCGTGGTTTTCGATGTACCATCGATGTTTACCTGTTAAGACCTCGAAAACTTCGATATTTTACAGCGCTAACGTCAGCTGTCAGTCGAATCATTTTTCACGGCTTATATTGTGCGCTGCATTATTATTGCATTTCCTTGAATCCATAGCGGTTGCGTAGCATATGCGTGGATCGGTCGTGGTACTTAAATGTGGCACGTATCCGGTGCAGTAAGAGTCAATTGACCAGTAGGCAGTACAACCAGTGACTATGTCGTTTGTGGGCGGGGGAGGGTGTGGGGGCCAGGACGTACACAAGTTTGTGGATGCGCTGCAGGCGGATTTTAAGACCCTATCGCTGGAAACCAAGAAGAAGTATCCTCAGATAAAGGAGGTGAGTCCTGCTGACGTGTGGTTCATGGCCGTGGTTCTCTAATTGCGGCACTTATCCGCCGACACACAAGTGTGTGTCACCCACCTACCAACCCACTTGGGTCGGTTCTTGGGTGGTGGCGGAACGGTCGGTGGGCGGGGGGTGGTTTGCTCTGGTTCCACCTGTGCTTGTTCTACGCAATTATGAAATTGATAGCCTGTGCAAATGAAATTGATTTTATGACATTTCCACTTGCCCATTAATTTCCTTACGTTTCCAATTCCCAATCAGGCATGTGAGGAGGCCATTTCTAAGCTCTGTACAGCCGGCAGCAGCCAGCAAAACTCGGTATACTACACCGTCAATCAGATACTCTATCCACTGGTGCAAGGATGCGAAACCAAGGACCTAAAGATCATCAAGGTGAGCCGGCGTCTTACTAATTAAAAACTTAAATTAATTTCTTTCTCATCTACAGTTCTGTCTGGGAATGATGCAACGACTCATCACCCAGCAGGTGGTGGACCAGAAGGGCGCTCTCTACATCACCAACGCATTGTGGACTTTGATGGAGAATAACATCGAGGAGGTGAAGGTGCTGCAAACGGTGACCCTTTTGCTAACTACTAATACAGTGGTGCACGGCGACACCTTGGCCAAGGCCCTGGTTCTGTGCTTCCGGCTGCATTACACAAAGAATCCGACGATTGTAAATACAGCGGGTGCAACTATTCGACAACTGGTGTCGCTGGTGTTCGAGCGAGTCTACCTGGAAAAAGATTCGGTTTCTAGCCTCCAGCAGCAGCAGCCTAGTGGTTCGCCATCCGAGGGAGAGGGCGCCGGTCAGGAAGTGCAGACCTTTGCCTCGGACGCATTCCTGCTGTTCCAGGATCTCGTGCAGCTCGTAAACGCTGAGCAGCCTTATTGGCTGGTGGGCATGACAGAGATGACGCGCACCTTTGGCCTGGAGTTGCTCGAGGCAGTGCTGACCAACTTCAGTGCAGTTTTCCACGAGGTATGTTTACATTAGCTCAGACAGGTGTCGATATCGGGTTTATTTTCTTTTGGTTTCCAATTAGAGTAAATATTGTTACCCCTTTCTGTGTACTGTTCGATAAGAACATAATATGGAGCTACGTTTATTCTTGTGAAAATACTTTTAAAAGTGTACCTAGATTGTTAGTTTGAATGGTACCATATTATATAAATGTTACAAACATTTGTTAGCCAAATTTCTTATTTTAATGTCTCTAAATTCAACATTAGGCAAGAAACCAAAATTCAAATGATTTCAAAATAATAAACGTAATTTGCTTTTCAATGTATATTTGATAAAATATTAAAATATTTTTTTTTTCCCTCAGAGCAACGACTTCCGATTGCTGCTTAAGGAACGAGTCTGTGCCCTGGTCATAAAGCTATTTTCGCCAAATGTCAAACATCGTCAGCTGCCTGCACCAAGCAATGGAAATGCTCCTGCACCTGCTGAGAAACCATATTTTCCCATCAGCATGCGCTTGCTGCGCCTGGTGGCAATACTTATACAGAAATACCATACTATATTGGTAACCGAGTGCGAAATCTTCCTGTCGCTGATTATTAAGTTCTTGGATCCCGATAAGCCGGCCTGGCAGCGAGCTCTTGCCTTGGAGGTCATACACAAGCTGGTCACGAGATCCTCGCTTATAGCATTTTTCTGCAAGTCGTACGATTTAAAGAACCATGCCACCAATATTGTGCACGACATGATTGCCGCTATGGGTAGCTATGTGAGGTATTCCTTGTACAATGCCTCGGCTATGCTAAATGGTCAGCAGAACGGAATGGCCAATTCGTTGACCGCCTTGTCGGGAAATAATCAATGTGGATTCATGTTCCGAGGAGCTTACCTCCCTCTAGTGGCCACCTATGCCCCAGGAGTCTCAAAAGCTGTTTAGTAAGTTTAAGCAAGCTACTTTGAAATTATCTTATACAAAATGTTTTTTTTCTGCAGCTTGGAAATGCTAGATAAGCTAGATGCTCCAAATATTCCTGACAGCTATGGCATCTCGGTGGGACACGCCATACTCCTAGATATAACACGTTCTATTGGAGGCGTCATTCAGCGAACACCGGAGCTTCATCCAAGCCACAACACAGCAGTGATAACGGAGGAGGAGCACAAGCCACTTTGTCTCCAACTGGTGAACTCCAGCTGGTCTGGCCTTCTCAGCGCTTTTATTCCATTGGTGGAAACCTCTATCGATGAGGCCACCACGGAGAACATCCTCAAGGCTATGCAAAACTATGCAGCTCTATGCGGAATGCTGGAACAGCTACAGCCACGAGACGCCTTCATCATGGCTATGTGCCGTGCCTCTTTTCCGCCCCACTATGCCATGTCCATATTTGCCAACACCACGCAGGCGGATGGTGAATTAAGATGTGAGTACTTCATTTTATTATCTGAGTTATTATGTTTGTGTAAAACACACTCAGGTAAAAGCAATGTTTTATATATAGAAAAATATTTAATAATGCCATTTAAATTTTACAGGTCATACGCGCAGCGGTAGTCAGGATCTGAGCAACCAATTCATTAACAACTGCAGTGGCGATTCGGGAGACTTTCGACCTCAAATTGTGGCGGTGGGCACACCCCTGCCATCTGCCTCTCTTCCCCATAGTGTTATGCAGGCACCGGTGATGCTGACCAACAAAAATCTACAGTGCATGCGAGCGATCCTTTTCCTGGCGCACAACAACGGTGGAATACTGGGCACCTCGTGGCACATAGTGCTTCAAACTCTCCAGCATTTAGTATGGATCCTGGGCTTAAAACCATCTACAGGAGGAAGTCTTCAGGCTATGCCAAAGCCAGCGGTAGAGGCAAATGTGGGCATTCAAACGGCAGTGATGGCTGATCTTCCGGTTTTGTCACAAATGCTAAGCCAATTGTTTGAGTCCAGTCAGTATCTGGACGATGTCGCGCTGCATCATTTGATTGATGCTCTATGCAAACTGTCCCACGAAGCCATGGAGCTGGCCTACGCCAATCGGGAGCCTTCCCTCTTTGCGGTAGCCAAACTGTTGGAGACAGGTCTAGTGAACATGCCTCGCATTAAGGTATTGTGGCGGCCGCTAACAAATCACTTGCTGGAGGTGTGCCAGCACAGACACATTCGCATGAGGGAGTGGGGCGTGGAAGCTATCACCTACCTGGTTAAGTCCGCACTTCAATTCAAGCACAAAACACCTCTTAAGGATAACATGGTAAGTTTGGCTTCGGTTCATTAAATAGTGTCTAGAAAGTCTTTTTAATTATTTATATTATGGGAATATGAAAAGAAATATCAACGATTTATTTTTCGAATCTATTTTTTTGCCTTTAGGAACTACAAACCATGCTGTTGAGTCCGCTCTCTGAGTTGTCTACTGTTTTGCATGCAGACGTACGGCAACGACAGCTGGACTGCGTCCTTCAGATCCTGAATACGGCCGGGGAAATTCTCTCATTTGGCTGGCCGGCGATTATTGAGATCATTGGGGCTGTAAACGAGCACCATGGCGAGCCCTTGATCCGCACAGCATTCCAATGCCTTCAGTTAGTTATCACAGATTTCCTGACTGTGATGCCGTGGCGATGTCTACCTTTGTGCATCAGCACGGCTGCTAAATTTGGCTCCCAAACCCAGGAACTGAACATCTCCCTAACGGCTATAGGTCTAATGGTAAGATATGTTATAGATTAAAATAATCTATGCATTTCAGATTCTGGGAATATAATTATAATAAAACTGTTATTTCATTACAGTGGAATATTTCAGATTTCTTTAATCAAAACCAGGACAAGCTTATGTCTACTCAGCTGCAGGATGTATCCATTCTGCCAGACTTTCCGGGCACGGTAAAGATGCCGCAGTTCGATAAGTTGTGGATGTGCTTGTACGCCAAGTTGGGCGAGCTGTGTGTGGATCTGCGTCCGGCGGTGCGTAAATCGGCCGGCCAGACGCTCTTCTCCACCATCTCCGCCCACGGCAGCCTGCTAAATCCGCCCACGTGGCAGGCGCTTGTCTGGCAGGTTCTCTTCCCGCTGCTGGACAACGTGCGCGCCCTGAGCAGCTCGGCCAGCAACGAGAAGGTGGACGCCAGTGGCAACATTCTCATCCATCACTCGCGCAACACTGCCCAGAAGCAATGGGCAGAGACGCAGGTGCTGACCCTATCGGGTGTCTGCAGAGTGTTTAACACAAAACGCGAGCTCCTTCAGATGCTCGGTGACTTTGAACGAGCCTGGTCCCTAATCCTAGAGTTCATCCAGAATGCGGCCTTGAGCAAGAATGGGGAGGTATCTCTAGCTGCTCTCAAGTCTCTTCAGGAGATCATGTACCACAACACTACAGAGCGAGCGGAAAGGGCTTTGAAGGACCCCCAGACGGCCCAAGAGCAGGATGATGAAATCTGGACTGTGAGTAGAGTAGAAATTAGCTAGAACCACTTTCGAACCACCACTTTTGTAAAAGTCTTTTGCTGAAACTTCCAATTCGATCTCTTCTGGATTAATTTGTTTATTTGTTCATACTAAACAGACTTTTTTCTTCGTTCTTTTCCTGAGCAGATTGCCTGGAACATTTGGCTTAGCATTGGTATGGAGAGCACCAAGATGTCTACGTCGACCTCAACGAAGCTGCATCAGCAAAACAGCAATAGCGGCGACAGTCAGGATGACTTTTACATTCCCAGTCAGGCCTTCCTCACCGCCTTGATCCAAATCTTCCCCGCCATCTTTCAGCACATACAAGTCAAGTTAGTAGACAAATCTAGGAATAAGCTTTGGTAAAGATGACCAAAAATATGAATGTTAGTGAATTTAAGACATGTAAATTCAATCACGACGATCATTTATTTACCACGATCATCTAATATACAAATTAATGCAAAATGTTTTTCAGATTTAGTGCGGCTGACTTTGACAAATTCTGCTCGGTCCTGACGAACGCTGTATGTATTCCCGTCCAGACCGATGCGGTGCCCTACATCATGTCCACAGTGTCGGACACTCTCTTGACCCCACTGCACGATGGAATCCTCGATTGCATGGAACTGATACAGAAGGCAAGGAAATTTTAGATTAATATATCATAAATTATAATAATTAATATTTCTTATAGGTGGCCACAAAGACAGATTCTCACATCAGCCAGCTCATTCCTGCCATTTTCCGGCAGCTGCTGATCTTCAGCAAGTTTGCCTGCGCACCGCCCACATTCCAGCAGAGTGTGGAGCACAAGTATGCCAAGTCCTCGGGCCACTATGCCAACAATGCCTCCGTTGAGGTGGTCAGCATGAACTACATACCGTTTGGAGAGAAGTCCATCAGTATTTGCGTGAAGCTTTATCAGACAACGGCCACCGAGGATCCGGTGGTGCAGGAGCAGATCTTACACGATATCGTCAAGGCGCTGCGCACGCCGCTGGCTATGAAGTACAAGTGCCTGTCGTCCAGCACTTGGAAACTGGCCATTTCCAGTCTGATAAGCGTGCTACACACGGGTCTCAAAGTGGCGCGGGCCAAGCCGCAGCATTTCGCCAGCCTGTGGGACGACTTGGCCGACACTTTGGACAAGTTCCTGTTTCCGGCGAGTGTATGCACCATCGAAGATCGCGGCCTGGAAGAGATTGTACTAGACGAAACGATCGATTGTCAGGTGATTGAGTTGCTGAGAGATGAAGTATTGCCTCATGCCCACGAAATGCCGCACCAGTTCATCATGCAGATCGTGGTATTGCTGAACAAGGGCTCTATTCACTCCGCATCGGATACGAACATCTGCTACGAGTCCGACTGGAAACTGCGCGAGATTTTTGCCAAAACGTGCTTCGAGACGCTACTGCAGTTCTCTCTGCTAGAGGACCATGCCAACACCAACAACAATCGCCTCAATGCCAATTTGTTGGCAGCCGGAACAGCGGGAGCAGGTGGCAAGGACTTTGCAGGCAGGCTGGCAGTCACCGCTCTACTGCATCGTTTCCAAGAGGTGCTCAAGCGTTTTAATGACGACGAGAGACAAAGCGGCAAATGCCCTCTGCCAAGGTAAGTTTATATCAAATATTTTGCTTTTATATAAAACAAAGAATTATTTGAAACATTTTTTTAATTGACTTACATTATTCATTTGCCTATCAGGTTTAGACTGTCAGAGATATCGTTTGTGCTTAAAGCCATTGCAACGCTTGTGGTATCCATGAAAAAAGCGCCATCATCCAAGGGTAATAGATATATCTCTTAAATAAGGATGCCTGTTGCTAAGTTTTTTGATTTTCCTTTTAGTGAACAAGCCAGCTTGGGATCAGTTGATTGGCTTGTATCCATACCTGGTGGATTGCACCACAACAACGTCGCCGGAGGTTTCGCGATCACTGCGAGAAGCACTGCTCCAGTACACGGATCTGCTGCAAGCGCCTCGCACCTGCACAGGACCAACCTCAAACGACAATGCAATACAATCGAATGGACAAGAGTGAAAGTATGCCTAGACACAGAGACTTAGTCTGGATTTGGACTGGTGACAGCTGTGCGATGTTTTTTCTTAGTTGTTTAAGTCGAAACGTTTGAATATATTTATTTTGTGCATAATTTATGAATGTTAATCTTAGCCCTCCCTCGCATAGATGTAATGACTAAGCATCTATGTACTTACATACATACCTAAACATATATATATATATATATATTTGTAAAAGTATTTTGTAGTTGAGCTATGAAGTATATATATATAATAGGTCTATCTGGCGTTGCCGGGTAGCCGAATAACCAATTTAAAACCCTACAAACCGCTTGGCAAAGGGAAGTAACACAGACAGCAGATTCCTTTAGTACCTTTTCGAGACGCAAAGACAAAGAACTATATTAGCTATACATATACAAATCTAACTACGATCTATTTGTGTAGCGCATTTTAAAATACAGACTTGCGTGTTATCTGAATCAAATATTAACCATTAACCATGATGCAACCAACAACCAACTTTGTAGTGACGTTTTTAAATAAAGCAAAAATTATTATTACCAAACGATAAGAGTGGTTTATTTATAACGTCAGATTGCCTCGGGAGTTGAACAGACGGATGGATGTCTCAACAACAAGTTTACCTCGCCGGTTACCTGAGCCCACACATCTACTGTTAGCCTATCCTTATCGCATCCGCAGTGAGCAGCCACCTTGAACTGCCTCTGGAATTTAATTCTTTTGACTTGGCAACAACTCTTTTTATGTTTGTGAAATGTGGTAACTGATTACTCTCGTTTTGGTCATGTTTGCTTAGACTATGAACCGTATGCGGCTACATTATAAATGTTTATATAACTGATAGGAGGTTGTTTAGCGGAAAATGATCTCAGATCTAAAATTATTATTATTTTTTGGCAGGTAAAGTTGAATGACTAAAACTGGAATTATCGGGATAACTTTGCCCCAGCCTCATTTTGAACTTTAACATTTTAGCAATAAGGCATTGAATTGGTGTGAAAGCTGAAACAATGCTACTCATCTATTATATTTATCTGACTGGTTAAACCTGAAATATTTTGTTCCAAATACAACCTACCTTTTGGTTCCCCTCGTGCATGTGTATGACCAGCGAAAGTGCAAACATTTTAATCTAAATAAAATTTTTATTTTAATTTGTTTTTGTTTCATTTTTTTGTCGGTTTTCTGTTTTTGTTTTCATTTTAATCGGTATAATAAGTATAATAACATTTTTTGTTGTTCTTGTTTTCATTATTATTATTACTGTTAATGTTAATGTTTTTATAGTTTTTTTTGTTTTCTTTTGGTTTTAATATTAGAATTAGGCAATCGAGTTTAATACTACCTTCGTTTTAAATATTATGCAACGAATTTTTGGGTTTTTCCTTTCTCATGATTTTTTTGTTTATGAATTTTTAAATGTATATATTTAATAAACTCATTTCCGTTCTGGCTAGGCAACTTCTTGTGTGTCGGGCAGCCGCACACACTCCGTTGCTGTCTCGTATATTTTTTTGGATTTTATTTATTTTTTTTTGTTTTGTTTTGTTTTATGTGCTTGTCAACTCTTTTGGTTTTTTTTTGTTTTTATTTTTTACTTAATGCCGTGGGCGCTTAATGTACAGTTGCCTTGTAAAAATGTACAATTCAAGCGCTTGCTTTAAAATATTTGTTTTTTTTTTTGTGGTTTTTCGGTCTTTATTTGTTATTAATCTATATTAGCTGAAAGTTGATTTTCAACTCTGCCCTATAAATCACTTTTAATAAATAGCCGCCAAGACGCCTTCTTCTTATTTTTGGTTTGGTTTAGCTATTTACTTGTTTTAGCGCTTGTAATTAACATTTTTGTCGTGTTCTCATTATGTTTAACTTTTGTTTTAATTTCATGGGCTTAGATATAATACAATTTGTTGTTTATTATTATTATACTGCACTAACGGTCTCGTTCGGCTCGCTTTCATTTCATTTACTAACTGCCTGCTTTTCGGGGATTTTTCAAGTTCTAACTGCCAGCGGCTGCAAATTATGCTTCACTTTGATTTCGCTTAAACTTGCTTAACTTGTTGTTCTGCTTCTTCTTCTTCTTCTTCTTCATGTAATATTTAGTTAATGTTTAATGTGTTTGTGTATGTATGCTTGTGTTTTACGGTTTAACAATAGTTTAGTTTTAGTTTAGTTTAGTTTAGTTACTAATTTAGTGTAGCACATCCGTGAGATGAGACGAGATTTGCGTGTTTAGGATTTCGGTTTTGGATTTTGGATTTTGGGTGTTTTAGGTTTTGGGCTTAGGTTTTTTTCTTCTTCGGGTTTTCGATCTAAAAAACTCTATTTATATATATATGTAATGTATGTATATATAGTATGTATGTTTATAGTATGTTTTGTATGTATATTAATTTATCTGGTTTAATTAGTATTTGTTAAACAAAAGTAACGCAAGAGATTTCATTTAGTGCTAAAAACAAGTGTATGCTTATGTAAGTATTCGGTTTCCCTCAACTTTTTTCCACCATTATAATTATATTTATATCATATAATGTCTATGTAAAGAGATGTTCGGTAGATAGGCGTAAAGAGCGCAGTTTTCATCTTATTGGAAATTCGTAAAGTTCGTTAGAAATCTGATCTGAAAGTTTCATTAAAGTTTTCTCTTTTTTTTTTGGTTTTGGTTTTGGTTTATTTCTCAATTTATTCGATAAACTCTTTACATTAAATTACTTAGCTAAATTGTTGGGTTCTTTTCACCATCTTCTGCTTATGTTCGTTTTTTTTTTTTTTTTTTGGGTTTTTTCGGATTTGTTTTTTGCCATAGCCATACAAAATGTTGTGTTTCTTTAATGTATAACGTTAAGTACATATACATATGCTCCGTACATATATGTAACCCTTTTGGTTTTTTAGTTTAATGAACACTTTGTTGGGTTCAATTTCAATATTAGTTTAAAAAGTTAGTTATAGTTTTTAAGATTAGCGTTGGTTTTACATTTTCTTGGTTTGGTTTAGGTTTAGAAAAAGTTCTGCTTGTCGAAATTAATATAGTTAAGAAGCGCTGTGCCCTGTTGACTTGTTTGTGATTTCTCTTCGGTCTAGATTTAGGATTAGGTCTAGTTTTAGCTTCGGTTTCCATAATTCATTATCTATGTATTTGTATGTATATATGTAATTTATATAAATTGCTAAAAATCATAGATTTATCGATTAGTATTCATTTGAAACAGTTTTGTGTTCGCTCTAGTTGAAGACATTTCGCCAGGGACCGGCGGAACCAATTGGAATTCTTCCTTTGGGACTTGGTATCGAGTTCTATTTGGTTATCATATGGCGAAGTCTGAAAAGGGGAGAGGCGGGGGCTGGCACTTAATTGATTTCTTATTCTTCGGTTCTTCTTCGTCTTCTTCTAACTCCCCTAAAGGCTTATGCGGTCAGCTATCCTATATTTCTAGCTCATCCCGGAAGGATTCCATTTGCCTTCGCCGGCCCATGGGTGTGTGTGTGTGTGTTTTGTGTGACATTCGGTTACTAGCTTGGATTACAGAATATATTTTACTGCTTTTCGGTTCTCGGTTTTTATGGCGAACCGTGTTTACCCGTAGTACTAACTGGTTTATAGAGTGCTGATGTCACACCCCCTTTTAAGGCCAAGTCACACGTTTTGCTCAAAGTCGTCGCCGATTAGGGAAATGATTTAAAACATAAATAAATTATTTCTTAATGTTTTTTTTTTGTTTTATTTCTACTGAAACCCTAAGGCAATTATTTGTTCTCCTACAGTGTGTCCTACAGCTTGTCCACTTTTTTACACTACTCTGGGCGCCTGCGGAAAACAAAGTTAGGTTTTTACGGGTTCGGTTAGCAAGAATCTTAGCCTGGCCGGCTAAAGGCTCCTCATCCATATTCCACCATTTCCTTCTCTATCGGAAGCTACAAGCTCTTTTCCAGAGCTGGAAATCATACAAAATGTGTGACTTGCCAGTGAATTCGCCAAAAATCATATTCGTAAAAAAAAAAAAAACATAACTTGGCTCTGATTTCGCAAACAATGTCTTTTGGTTCTGGAATTTTAATGCTTTTAATGCCATAACAAGTGTTTTTGGAAATCATTGATTCCAATGTTTAATAGTTGATCTTTGAGAGCATTTTGTCCTTTTTTTTCATTTTTCCATCATTAGGTTTACAGATCCAAAACACACTGTATGGAAAGTCGAAGAGAGACAGTTGTGATTTAACTATATATTCTTATATATTCACTTTGTAAAAACTAAAAAAAAAAAAAATAACTAAGGACCTTCCTGAATTTGGAAACTAACTTGTCAATTTTAGCTTTAACTAATTTGGTTGCCCTCATGGATTTAACCGATGCGAACCGTTATTCTGGCTTAAGTTTAGTCTTAGCTTTCGTTTCGGCTTGTGACTTCTCCCCTCGACATTTGGCTTACGCGACTAATTAAACGTACGTGTAATTATTAATATTATTTATTTATATGTTATATATATAATATATATAAGGTTCCTTCTTGTAACTTAACTAGAGCTTCGTCTGATGTTCACATTTAGCTGCTCTACTCATGAAGCGACTAACGCGTGAGGGTCAAAAGTGTGTGCCAAGAAATTCTGCATTTGCTGATTATATTTTTCGATAGTTAGCAACAATTGATGGGTAAACAATCGATGTCGATAAATGAGAGAGTGATGCTTAAGAGGAATTGGGAGTGGAAATAGGAATGGGAGTGCTTTCGATAAGTCATACATAAGTTCTATCTGAGGAGTTGTAGTTAGGATACACGATTTGTTTGTTTGTCAGGCTTAGTTTGTCGTTTGTTTTCTGTACAAAAAGACATACAATACTGCGTATGTGGTTGTTTGTATATAAGTGTATATTATATAAGTATGTATAGTTTCCGTTTCTTGCATCCTTTTCCATTGTTACTATGTATGTTGTATATATATGTATGTATGTAAATAGCATAGTTGACGAGTGTTCCGAAGTTGATTTTGGTTTGCTTTAAAGTTAGTTACGTGTGTATGGTTTAGTTGTTCATGTTGTTGTTGTTGTTGTTGTGGGTAACATTACGTTATACAATATAGCAGTAAATAGGTATCGTAGCTGTTGTTGTTGTTGTTTTCCTTCTTGTTGGGCTTACTTTTCAGTTCAAAGAGTTTCAAGGATGTCTGTTTTCAAGGGGGTTTTCCATTTTTTTGGTCGAAAGAGAGAAAGTCGATGGGGAATCGGTCTGATAGGAAACCAAGCCGACAAATTAAAAGTAAAAAGGGGTTTCACGCAGATACAATGAAATGTACAGTTATACATAATAGATCAATTATAATATGTATATAAGTAGTAGTTGTTGTCATTAATAGTTGTTATACACAAATAAGCCACAAAAACTGTACAACAATTGTACATGAATAAAAAACTTATGCACGAGAATTTATCGACGGTTTCCAAAAAGTCTCCTCTCTAGGCTATTATTTACCTTTACCTTCTTCCTCTATTTTTGTAATTCATCGCATATGTATATAACTATGTAATCGAACATGCACACACACACACGTGATCTATATATATATAAATATATTTATTTATATATATAGCAATTATATATATATATTCTTTATTTATATATATAACAAGAACATTCTTTGTTGGTTTTTGTCAAGGGTTCTGTTTCTTTTATTTATTATGCTCATTTAGTTTACTATACAAATCGTCTCGCCTTGTGTCATTTAACATAATTTTATTTCATTAACTTCATCGTTTTGCTGAGAACACAGTTTACTATGTAAATATTTAAAGCTTTGGTGGCGGCGAAAAACACAACAACGAAAATACCACGAAAATAAAAACATTAACATAAAACTGAAGTCGTTCAAATTTATACATATACTCAAATATATATATATATATATATATATATAAATACGATTTATTTATGATTATGAGTTAAGATGTGAATTGAAGACCGCTTTAGTTCTTAGTTCCTTTCGCACTTCGATTTTTATACACATACATTATACATAAACAACCGAAATTAACAACAACAGAAATGAATTAACAGAGCTTATGATTTCTTTTATTTTTTTGTATTTAGTTCTTAGTGTGTTTTGATTTTGGTTTTTTTAGTTTTTTTGTTTACCAAAAATGAGGCTAAGCAAATAGTACTGAACTTTACAAGTTTTGGCAGTACGCATCTGATTTACGTCCATCCTTTCCTCCTAAAATTATGCAATATACAATGTTTTCGCTTCTTCCAACGCTTCTTCTTCTTCTTCTTCTTCGTCCCTCGTCTACCTCTCTATCATTCGTCATCAGCTACTAGTTGTGGTATTAATCCTTTTAAAATATACTCATAACGCGCTACTTAATTGTTTAAAAAGTTCTTCTTCAGTTTTTAATACACCGTATTAACTAAGTTTAATAAACAAAGTTTCTTTTCCTTTTCTAACATCGTTTTGCAATCGCTTTTCCATGTGATCATGTCCTTCTCCGCCATCTTTCTTTTTGCGTCTTCCTATTTCTTCTTTAAGTTCCGTTTTGAACTAAAAACTAACCTCAAAATATCGCTACCTAGAAAATTATAGTCGTATAAAGAGAGATAGAGAGACAGAGCCTGGGCTGCTGCTTGCTTCTACAGTGGGTCAGGCAGGGACAGAAGATCCCCTTCTTTAGCTTTCCTCAACGTTTTTTTTTTAGGTTATGTACAATATTATTCTGTTGTTCAGAAGGTGGAGGGTGCGTGGGAGGGGGAGTAGTGGCATGTGCGACATTTTTGCTTTGGAGTTAACGCTTCACTTTATGGTTAATTGCTAAAGTTCCATTATTCTGCCATCGTTTATCCATATTCTCTTATTAGTGTTCGTTTAACTGCTATCACTTTCCATTTAAATATTATTTTAGATTTACTTCGGTTTCGGCTTCCACTTGTTTTAATATTAATTGTTTGTTTTTAATTGTTTTACGGTTTTTTGTTTTTAGTAAAATACAATTTTGCTAAACAAAGTTTTTGGTTTTCCTGGCTGATGTGGTGGTTGAGGGGAGGGGGAAAATGGGGTTTAGAGGTTACACAACTTTTTCTCTTGCTCGGTTTTCTCATTAGCACTTCTCGATTTCGCTAGTTTTATGTAGTTTATGTAATGTCTTAATGCATTTTACTTTCTGTTATGTGTTTTTGCTCATATATGTTTTTTTTTGTTAATGGTATTATTTGTTATTCTTTATACGGTGTGTTCTTTCTTTTGCTTAGGAATTTTAATCATAATTTCTCCTTTTCTTTTTCCTGCAATAAAGAATAAATCGCAAAAATCACTTGAATTAGTTTTTGGTGGTCTTGGCTTATGGTTACTCATGATTTGGTGATTGGTTGGTTCGGGTTGAATTTTGTTGATCGGGAAATTTAAAGGATAATGTCGAAATCAGAGATATTATATGTATATATTGATATAAATGGGGGATCAATTAATCAATTAACTTGTCTATGCTTCGATACAAACTAAATAAATAATATTAAATGGTTTGTTAGTAGAAAAATTAGACTACTTTTGCTTGTTGCTGTTGCAGAGATGCCGTAGATGTTGCTATTGCTGTTCAGATTGTTAGTAGTTGTCGTAACTATTTTTGGTAAATTATTGCAGTGATTGTAGTTTTTGGAGTTGTTGTAGTTAGTTGTTGTTGTTGTTTTAGTTAGTTGACGCTGGGCACATTTTGGATCAGATTTTGGTTAGTCAAGGCGGGTGGTTCATGGAGAATTGATCGAGGGCGAGGTTAATATTTTGGGTTAGTTTTCGTTTTTTTGTGGTGGTTTTTGGTTTTTAGTTTTCAGTTATTTAATGATGATTGCAGAAAGCAGCCAACCAAATCGATCGATCGAATCAAGCGGCAGGTTCTTCCACATCTTTTCTGTTTGTTTTTTTATTTTTTTGGTTTTTAGGATTTCTCATTCAATTTAGTTTTAACTAGAGAGCGAACTTGATCAACTACTCAAAGGAAATGTTGGTTTTTAGTTATGGGAAAATAAGAAAAGAATGGAAGATACATTTGATTAGCTTTCCATGATTATCTTTTACGACGAGTCACTCAAAGATACCACAAATCTCCAATAACAGCAAATCAAAAGTCAACCAGCAACGAAAACGGTAACGAAAGTAAAACTAAAACGTATTAACACAGGGGATATAGTGCATATATATCAAATATATCCCCGATAACAGGCAGGCGCAGGCAAGCAGAAACCAGGATCTGAGAAAACAATAAAATAGGATAATAACACAGGACAGCACTACGTAAAAAATAGAGAAAACAATAAAAATGCAGATTGTTTTTGGTTTTGTTCTTTTTTTGTTTATTTTTTTTAAAATATTTTTTGTTTTTTTTTTTATTTGTTTAATTTACAATTGTATTTTTTGTTGTTTGTTTTATATTTCGGTAGAAATCAATCTCAAAACGCACAAAATCATAATGGATAGTGTTGGTAATCGGTAAAGAATAGCACAGGTGTTTAGATACTAGATACAAAGAATCGAAATCATTAAAGTTTTCATCAAGTTTATACACAGCAAAATCAACAGAGGCGGCGACAATCAAAATGATATAAGAAAAAAACGAAAAGTGCGCAAACTAGATGGGGCAAGGGGCAAAGGGGGGCGGGGTAAAATACTCTTTTTTTTTGTGTACAATATACAAATAATTCTAATTATAATTCCAAATCAATGCAAAAGTGTTGAGCTACGATTTCTGTGTGTTCTTCTCTTCGTGTTTATATGTATGTGTGTTTTATTCACTGCCAAGAAATTAATAAGCTTATATAGTGATTTATAATTATACATAAGTAACGATTAATTCTGTTTTTGTATTCCTCACAAAGCAAAATCAAAACTTTTGCTTTGCCTACGGCGGTGTTTTTGTGTTTGTTTTGTTGTTGTTGTTTGAAATGTGGTTTTGTTTGTAGTTGTTGTTGGTTTTTTGTTTTTTAATGTATATAATTAAACAATAAGTACTTAAAAACAAAGTTGATAACATTTTCTTGTCGTATTCCTTTACATGATAATAATAATAATAATATTATGGACTGGACTTTGACATAAAAAGAAAGTTTTCGTTTATGTGTAATCAGTTTCCTTTTAAGTTTTGTTTGTAGTTTTTTTTTTTTATTTATTTTTAAGCAACAGAAACAAGCATAGCGAAAAAATGAATTTTCGATTGGAAAATAAGCAAGAAATTATAAGGCATAAGGCATTACGATGAATTAAATTTATGGTATTTAAATCTAGAGAACTACATATTTTGTTTCAACTCTCGGTTGTGTTGGTTTGAGTTTGAGTTGTGTCTGGGTGTGTGTGTGCGTTCGTTTTGTGTTTCCGTTTCTGTTTCCGTTTCCGTTTTGTGTTTGTCAATAGTTTTTCTTTTTCTTAGACGAATCAAATATACGAATCGAGGATATATATATATATTTGCCTTCGCTTTAGCACACATCAAGAAAAAGAGTTCAAAACCCAAAAGGTTAGCTCCATTTCACTTCTAAGGGTCCCGTTAAATTTATAATTTTTTATTTTTAATTTTTATTTTTATTTTTATTTTCAATAATTCCTTTGCGACGACGCTCCAGGCACATTAGACTTTATTATAATACAAAATTAGCAAAAAACTATATAATTTCTTAACCTTTAACTTTCCATTTTATCGCTTATCTTCATCGTTTGCGTCAAACACAAAAATTCATTCAGTTTTTTCTTTCTTTTCTTTCTTCCCTTCCTTCTTCCTACTTTTTTTTCTTTTGCATTTTGGTAACTATTAGAAATTGTTAACTAAGAAAATTTCACTAATTGTTGTAGCTGCTGCTCCTCCGTCCGTTTGTCTGTCCGTCCGTAAGTACGTTGCTTCTCCGTAACTGTATCTGTAGTATCCGGTTCCGTATGGTTATGTTTGGGTCTGGTCTGCATTTGCATTTGCATTTTGCATCCGCCTGCAGCTTCAACGTCTTTAATTTGCAGTATAAAACTAAAATTTCAACTTTTTTTTCCTCATCTGCTGCGTTTCGTTTTGTTGTTTTTGTTTGTTTGTTTGTTTTGTTTTGTTTGCTGATGTTTTTTTTTGTTTAATATTATTTGGTGTTGACAGTTTATGTTGTTGGCTTTTTGTTTGTTGTGGTGTTGATTGGTTGGTAGGTTGATTGGTGTGTTGGGTTGGAGAGTAGGCACACTTACTGTTCTTGGGGATCAGTATCACTCTCCTCCAGTTCGCTCTTGTTGCGGCGCTTCTCATAGATGAGAATGATGATGCACAGAATCAGCACCTCAGCACAGATGCCCAGGAAAGGCCACACGGCGGCAAATTTGCCTATGGAAAAGATGATGTTTATTAAATTGGTTATTTATTTGTATAGCAACCATGGTCGTTTATGATCTTTATTTACTTTAGACTAATAAACTTAGTTCTTCATGCCAAAAGATATAATAACAAGATATCCAACTGACAGAACTTCAACAATTTAATTTAGGAAAGCACACTTTGACCTCAAAGGAAAATAGCGCTAACATATCTCAACGCAGACCATAGTTTTTCGGCGGATATTAAATAAAGCTTAGTCGACACTCCCAGCGTTTGGAACTTACCCTTAACACGCACGTTTGTGAAGTCACTGGCAGGAGCGGTGGAGTTATCACCATAGTCATTGGCCGCATTGCGTCCAATGCATTTGTACTCGCCTCTGTCGTCCAATGTCACATTGTCCAGTGTCAGGATGGCGTTCTGGACATTGTTATCATCCGCTTTCAGGACGAAGCGATCTGTGGCGTTTGTCAGCGTTACATTGCCTGTAGTTATATAAAAAAAACAGCAAAGTTAAAACCAAATTCCATCAGTTGAGATCAAGAAGAGAGACAGAGAGAGAGAGATTTAAGGACTCACCAAAGGTCCATGACAACTGGGGGTCAGTTCCCACGACGGTGCAGGTCACCGACATCTTCTCACCCTCCACAACAGCGGTATTTGAAGGCACTCTTACCATAACGCGGGCTGTAGATGATCAAGGAAAGCAATTAATTTAAAGTTAGTGCTTCGTTCCAAGGGTTTCGTAAGACTTACCAATCACTGTGATATTCTGGGACTCTCCGTTGTACTCGCAACTGTATAAGCCATCGTCGTGCACGTCCGTTTTATCGATGATGAACCTATTCTCGGCTGCGATTATCTTAAAGCGACCTTTCAGGGAAGGCACCTCCGTCACAGCGGTGTTGTTCTTTTTCCTGTTGGCGATTGGAAAGCGGATATTGGAGTGTTAGTTTGAAAGAAGAAGGTGTTGAATGGGCAACAAAAAATGTCTCCTTAGTATGCCTTCCCTAAAGAAACTGTTTGTGTTTAAGAACTTGCATAAATTAATTGGAATTTAATACAATAATGTTAACCTTATAATTTGTTTTCATTGTTTTTTCTCTGTGAATATTTTTGCCAGGAGAAAAAGCCATTTATCTAAATGAATTCTACAGTTATCGCCGAATAGCCGGGCTGCACCTACTTGAGGAGCAAACTTTCTCTTAGCCCTTCGCCTTTCTCTGCGCCTCTTTTGCCAATTATTCAAAGACTAATTCCACAGCGAAGCACACGCAAAGTTTGGCCCTGGCCCCAGAACAAAAACAAGAACAAGAACGAGAACTAGGGACCCGGACAAGTCCCGGAATGAACAAAAGTGTCATTACCATTACCAGACCGGGCCAACAGAGCTCGGAGCCACGGCTACCAACACTAACTGGTCCCAGACAGGAAGGCACTTTTCAGTAACCACCTTTCCCTAGAAGTGCCCCCCATCACAGACCCCACACTCAGCTGTGCACATTCGCACAAATGGCACCTTGTTGTACCCTTGCAAAGGGTATTTTAATTATTTTCACCCTGTTCGGAAAAAATAAAATAATAGGGTGTCCACATTCGGCACTAATGAAATTCGAAAGTGTAACTTAAAGTCTGCTTTGAGTTTCAGAAACATTCTAGATCCCAAAACATATCGTTTACTGAATATTTCGAATTTACATAACTTACAATAAGTCGAAACCTCTTACCAGCCTACCCATAGCCTACTTTTAGACACTAACAAAAGTGATTTGAATCCCCCAAAGAAAATTGATATTTGACACCTGTGATAGATATATTTTCTATAGTGTATTTGACGCTTCGTTCTTGTTTCGGTCAGCAGGTTACGTCAGTCAGTCAGGCAGTCAGTTAGGCAGTCAGGCCAACATAATTAAGCAAAAGTGCTTAGCTGTGCCGTATTAAAATGATTGCTCTTATAACTACTAACTATGTGGGGCACAGACACAAACATAGACCCATAGACCCAACCCACCCTCTGTGCCTTGACAACATCCCCCGGATATTTTTTTGGGATCCCTGAGTTAGGATGTTACGGAATGATGACTTACCATATGAGTACGCCCGGCGTTTCGTCTTTCACGTTGCAGCTGAGAACCAGCGGAAATTTGATGTCGTAAAATTTCATTTTATGCTCGATATTATCATAGTTTGGCACCAGCTTATCTGGAGATGGTATAGATAAATGGAATATATTAGTCAAATATTGGCATGGGCATTAGGGCGTTCTAATGTTTGGGATACGAGAAAACGTTTACATAAAGAACTGCTTAAACAAAGTTTATTCTAATAACTTGTATATAAAGATAAATATATTTGCTTATAGGAATAAATTGAGAACGAGCTTAAAGTATGAGAGGTTTGGTGGAGATTTTTTTGATAAGTTTGGATAGATTTCTGAGGTTTTTGATTTGATTTTTCATTGGCTGAGAGATGAGAGCTTGATATTCGGTTTTGAATACTGACTAAATTGCTTAGGAGAGTAATGATGATTTAGCAACACACAAATCACTAATACCAAATCAAAGGTGGAGCAAATAAACCAAAGGATATTCGTAGAACTAAAACTATAACTAAAACTAAAACTAAAACTAAAGAATACGTATAAATAAAACAAAAGAGCATACAATTTGGTCAATCGAATTTTATTCATCCTGTCTGGTATAAAAAACACATTGTCGTACTATTTCGAAACTTGGACTGAAATCAAATAAACTTCATTTTACGCTGCATATGAATTGAGATTACTTTGATTATTTACGTTTTGATGTTTTGATTAGTTTGGTATGTATAGTAGTATAGTTGATTAATTTATCGGTTAAGTTAGCTGTAATGTAAAGTAGAGCAAAAAGGTTGGTAAATTTATGTTTATCGATATACACAATGCGATACATACAACATTTAGATCGATTCTCGATTTATCGATAGCTCGATAGACAAGAAGCGCAAGCAAAATAGAAAGCAAATAGAAGGAGAGAATCGAAGAGAATCAGCGACTCGTCACATGTTGTTGTTTTTCCGCCTTATCTGGCAGTCTGATTGATTATAATCAGCTCGTAAGCCAAACGCTGCCAATTGTAAACTTATGCGTCATCGCAAACTGGCTGCCAATCAAATTCGAATCGAAACGAAACGAATTGGAATCAGAATTGAAATTGAAATTGAAATCCGAATCGTTCGCTGCACCTGCCAGCTGTGTGTTCAACAATCAGAGTAAACAACCAAAGCGTTAAAATAGGAGAAAACCAAGGAGAAACAAAGGGGACGCAATACAGGAATACAGGACAGGAGGAGAAGGCAAGAGGCAATGGCAAAGAGATAACCAAAGGAAAACAAAGACAGAGATAGCTACATAGTTCACAGAGGACACAAGACAAAGCAACAAATGAAATCAAGAGAAAGTAAAGCACAAAAGACAAAGAAAGAGCGGCAATGATGAAAAAGTTAAGGCAAACAACTCAAGCTCAACTTAAAGGTGTGACCATATGTGAATGTGTAGGTATGGTGTGTGGTGTTGGCTGTGTGTATGGGCGAGAGCAAAAGAGCGAACTTGTCAAAAGTCACACTGAGGGGGAGCGAGCGGGAGGGCGAGTTAGCTAGGCGAGCGATTAACGTTTAATTAAAAACCAACAACACCGAAATTAGACTAGCAAGGCTGATGCGATGGAAAGACACGGCGAGAGCAAGCGAGAGTGAGGGGGAGGGAGGGCTAATGAGGAGAGCGAGGGCGAAAGAGAGCGATAGGGTGGGGTGTGGTGCCAGAGCTGAGATCAGATGCAGTTCGAAAGACACAGAGCAAGTGGGTGGGGGTGGGGCGCACATTTGCAGCGATGACACTTGACCTTGTTCCCATTTTCAATTTCCCAAATCTCTAGTTTTAAAACGGTTATATAAAATTCAAGTCAAAAAGTATGCTAAGAAAAAAACGTTATTTTTTAAGGCATTTTCAGAAACCCTTCTTTATATAAAAGATAAAGCTAGCATGAGTACAAACATCTATTTTTAATTATTGGCAAAACATTGACAAGAAAAATTAATCAGAGATATTGAAAATGAGAACAAGGCTATAGTTTTTGGTACGATAACAATTACAATGGCAGTTTCGATTGGCGCGAGCGAGATAAAAGCCAAAAAACGAACAACAACAAAGTGGGCATTTACAAGTTGAACTTTAATAAGAGATTTAGTGGGTGTTTCATGTGTGTATTGCGTATTTGTGTTTGTGTGTATGTGTGTGTGTGTGGCTCACCCATCTTGACGGGCAAGAGCGTCTGGTGCTGCAGATGGACCTGATGCCCCTGGCCACCCATCAGCATATGGCCTCCAGCACCCAGCATTGGGGCACTGGCACCCGCAGGATCTCCCGCAGCACCGGTGCCACCACCAAAACCAACTCCACCCATCATGGCCTTTGTGCTGGTGGCTGCTGAAATGGTGGTCTGTTCTCCTTCTCCGACTGTAACTGGTCCTGCTCCTGTCCCTGTTCCCACCACTGGCGGAACATAGTGCGGTGCATAGGTCTGGTAACGCTCATTCTGGCCAAGATTGGGTCGCGGCGGCAGTGGCAACTGGAAGGCATTCAACGTGTGCTGCGCCTGTTGCTGCAACTGCTGCTGATGGTGGGAACGGTGGTGCGCCGTCGTCAGGAGCAGGCTGGCCTCCGTGGCAGCGGCGCTGGCAGTGGTATGCGTCTGATTGTATAGTATAGTTGGTGGCTCCGGTGGCGCCACCGTGTGCTCCAGCAGATTGAGGCGCGGTGGTGGGAAGTCGGGCGGTGTGGCCGAGTAAACGCGGTGGATCCCCCCTCCACCAGCCGATGGATGCCACGGCTGAGAGCCGGACAGACTGGTGTTTCCATAACCCAAATGCGACTTGTGCTGCTTGTGCGACTGATGGGGCAACTGTTGCTGTTGTTGTTGCTGCTGAGTCTCCAGCCACGCTCGTGTGAAGAAGTCATCCGCCGAGTTAGGCGTCAGCTCGTCAATGGTTTGATAGCCAGACTCGGTGGGTTCACTCGATCCAGCTCCAGCTCCCTTGGAATCTCGAACGTGCAACATATAGCCGCCGTGGCGATGGTTGCACTGGTAGCGACCCTCGTGCACCTTGAGAGCATGCCGCACGCTCAGGTGTGCTTCGATCTTGTGCTTCTCACCTTTAGCGGGATGAGCAACAGATGACCAGATGAGAGGTTGAAACAACTCCTCCGGAAACAAGACCGCCAAAATACTCACCCTCAATAGCACTCTCCGACAAAATGTAGGCATGATCATCCCGCCCGTGCCGCAGATTGTGCCGTGTGATCGGCTCCCCGTTCTTGAGCCAATGGATCTGCTCGTTGATCGGGATAATGCAGGTGATCGAGAAGGGCTGGCCCAGGTTTACATTGGGGTCGCCATAGTAAATGGTCGCCGGCACCTGGAACTTTGTGGACTCCTCGCTCAGGTCGTTGGCTGCTCCCGCACACAAAAAAGCGAACGTTGGTATATATTGGGTTCAAGGGTCAAACAATGAACTTATAACTAGTCTAGGAAAAGTGCTGATCAACAAAATATGTTTAGCAGGCGTGTAACCAGTTCATAATGCGGCAGAAAGTATGCAATGATTTATTTGAGATTTTCCAACGCACTTTTTGGAGATTTAAAAAAAAGAAAGAAGATATTCCTGTGACAAACCTTATTGATTTCTGTAAGGCCAGCCGTGATTGAATTTTTCCGGCAGTTTATTTAGTTTTTTAAAGCAATAAGTGAAAAACTTGATTTTCCGAATATGAAACTGCTTGAAAAATTCAACCGCAACCACCAAATTCCGTTGACCAGTGAAAACGAATTCAAATCATAAAAACAAACTGAAAACCAACGCAAAAAAGGAGAAACAAATATCGATCATCAATACTTCCTAATAATATAATTGTTTATGCGATGACTTATATTATGTGTGTGTTTTTCCCGTTATGGTTATTTGTTGAAAAAGTTGCGATCGATTATTTGATTTCAGCGCCAAGTTGCAAACGTATATATCAATGTTGGAATTTATCTACTCGAAATGCTTATATGCTTTGGGCAGTTTTCTTTTCAGTTTTCAGTTTTTTTTCCTTTTTAAGGGGGGTGGTTGGACGGGGTGGGGAGGCTAATAAAACACATTTACACACAGAACACAAAAACACAACGAATGGAAAATAAACTAACATAAATCGAAAATTTATTTACGTAATGGTGGAAATTAACATTAACTTATGTATCGATATAAATGGGTTTTTCTTTCTTACTGCACTGAGTGATTTATCGTAACTTAATTGATTCAAGGCTAAGAAACAGTGAAGGGCCTATATTAAGACAGAGAGATATATACTATATACATTACTATAGAAAACTTTGTTCTTCATTTCTGGGTATTTTTTTATTAAGAATGATATTGTCAATATAAAAAGGATTCTCCTAATTTAGTTGACAAAACAAAGTTAACGTGCAAGGTTTAGTTTTTCCCTGTAAATTTCCAAAATATTAATGGAATATAAAGTAAAAAAAATATGACGTTAAAGGCAGCTAACAAAGGAAGGGAAATACATATATCAATATGTATACTGTTTCGCAAAACCTAAATGTTTATTTTATTTTACAAATATAAACTTGAGAAATGTTTTGTTTTTTATTTATCTTTTAAAAACAAATATTTCCTATGGTTTCTGTTTAAATTTGAAATAAATTTTCGTTTAATGTATCAAAAGCTTATTTGTTTCTCATATCAGAAACATAATATTTCCCCCGAGACCTTGACAACTGGACTTTTAGCTTGACTTTTGGTTCGATAGTCAAAGAAAAAGAAAAAAAGATAGTCGAAAACAATGACGTCAATGACGACCGTCCGGTTTGAACTGCATCGATGACGTCAATTTCTACCAGTTTGAACTGCATAAACCCACAGAGACCTGCTGCGAGGCCTTGTGGCATACCATAATAACTTGTTGAGCTGTTATCGCCAAGTACCCTCTGATAACACAGAAGCAGGGCCATAAATATTAGTGTAATTGTGTACTTTGGGCGCATGGAGGGAGGGAGTACAGTACGTTTATTTGATCGTACACTTGCCTATATATTTGCCTGTATATTTCCCCCGAATGTATTACAAAATGGACTGTCGAGAGCTTGATAAAAAAAAAAAAAAGTTAA